ACATTCTTACGTCCCTCCCCCCCCCCACCCCCACCACACACACACTTTTCTAGGCTCAACTGGTATTTCTGTCTCTCTTCAGCTTTCGGCTTTCTTTTTCATGCTTTATCATGTCCTTGATACCTCATATTTTCTGTGGTGGTGGTGGCTGGCAGCGTCGATGTGCGATGAGTGTTTCCTGGTTCCCCTACCCTGAGTGTGTGCGCCGCACCTCCGCGCGCGTACATCCACTCCCCACTGCGGTTTCTCCTTCTTTTTTTCATCATTTGTCTCTTTTAGGCGTGTCGCCTCCACTCCACGTTTCCTCGTATCCAAATCAGCCATGTATCTAGGCATTAAGTACGTTTGATCGTGCACTTGTGTGGATTCCTCTCGTCTGCGTGCTTGCGGCACTGCCGTGGTCGTCCTCCGCTCTTTTTTTCTTTCTTCTCCGCTTTCACCTTTGCCCGTACACCTGCTTCTCGACGGCGGCACATCACTCTCCTCTCCTCTCCTCTCCTCTGCTCTCTCTCTCTCTTTCTCTTTCTCTTTCTCTCGCGGCCATCCGCAACGGCGGTGGCACTTCATGTAACGGCGCAGTACAACACAGCCGCTACGCGAGCGGATAGACGACAGAAAAAGAAAGGTGCTGTGTGTGTGTGTGAGTGAAGTGTTTGTTGGCACTCGGTGACGTAACTCTCACCGCTCCTGCGCTCACACTTTGGCGCAGTATAGTAGCAGCGAACTTATTATTATTATTACTGTTATTTTTATTCACTACGCCCTTAAAAGGAGCTCTACCGCCATATATTTTATACTGCTCGGTAAACTCGGCACACATCAATATTGTACCTTTCCTCTTCTCTCCCACATATTTCATTCTTTTTTGTTTGTTTGTTTTTTGAGGCTTTCTTGGGTTGAGAGATTTGTGGCGCTGCTCCAAAGCGATCATCATCCTCTTGCTGGGGTTGGTGCTCTTTATCTTTTTTTTTGTCTGTTTGCGTTTCTGAGTTCGCTCGTTCGCCATGGCTACGTTGAAGGTGACCGTTCACGAGGCTCGCGACCTCCCGGTGATGGACCGGGCCACCGGTCTGGCCGATCCGTACGTCGTCGTGAAGCTGGATGACATGGAACACACGACCGACATCGCCCGCCGCACCCGTAACCCGGTCTGGGAGCACGACGTCCGCTTCGACACGGCCGACCTGCTCGTCCTGCAGGAGGACCCTCTCGAGGTCCGGGTGTACGACCACGACATCATCAGCCGCGATGACATCGTAGGGATTGTGCTGCTGGACTGCAACAGCATCATCTACCGCGACAACCCGACGGTGTCGGGCTGGTTTCCGCTGATCGACCCCGATGCCGGGCTGCACGGGGATATTCGCCTGACCATTCGCATTAAGTTTCACGCCGCGGAGAACCCGCTCGCGCCGGCGCTGCCGGAGCGCTACGTCCGCCGCCTCGACCCCCGCGTGGCGGAGCAGCCACCGTACCCTTTCACCGTCACGCCGCCTGCCACCGTAAACGCCAAGATGGAGAATAGTTATAATAATAATAATACGAGTACTATTCATGAGAACGATGACGATGTGAGCATTAGTCTGTCGACAGTGCCCTCTACGGTTTCGAACGGTGTCATGGGAGAGCTAACCTCAGCTAGTCAGACACAGCAGCAGCAGCAAGCAACGTCCAGCACGGTAGACCAAGGCACCTCGTTGTCAACCTTGGCGCAGCGCGCCGCGTATTTGCACAACAACCGATCCGCATCTGCCGCGACGACCTCGAGCGGGCGTATCTCCAAAAAGCGCGCGGTGTCAACGTCACGACATGCCGCGATGCCGCCCTTCATCAACCCCGACACGTCCTTCGCCAGCGCCCCCAACGGCAGCATGAACCTCAACATGGGGAGTAGTATGGGGCCAGGGCCCGGCGGCAGCGGCGGCAACAACTACGCCAACACAGCAATGCACAACCCCGATAACGTCAGTGCCGCGCCGCTGCCCTCCCCCTCGCTCCTTCCTTTCCTCGTCGAGCAGGACCTCGACCCGTTGCACACCGCACGCGTCGATCACCCCACCCTCGCCGCCGAGGAGGAAGGCGTCTTTGTGTTTAGCGTGTGGCGACTGGACCCGGCGGTGTTTCGCGTGGAGAGCACGCACAGCATGATGGAGGAGCTCATCGTGAAGTCGGACCCAGAGCATGTGCGCTTCACAAACCTGCGCAGCAGCCGCAGCATCAACGATGCTCGCGTTGTGCAGCTCTTCAAGCTAAGCGGCAAGGTGCGCCGTCAGCTTGCCCGCAAGGTAGTGGAACTGCAGTGCAACGCCGTGTTGGGGTACGTGGAGGAGTTCGATATGGAACCGAACGGCATCATCGTTCGCGCCTACGGCACGCCGTGTGTGGTGTCGAAGGTGAAGTACGTAGACGAGCGCGAGATGCAGCACTTCCTGCGCAGTAAAGCGCGCTACCTGCAGTCCAACATCGCGGCTGCATATCAGAGCGAATTGCTGGCCCAACAGATGCAGCTCAGCTCCAGCGCCCTCTCGCGCGGTGCCTCGCCGCTTCTGACGGGCGGTGGGACGAGCACGACGAAGACGAGTGCAAGTCGTGGCGTGGGAGGCAATCCCACGTACTTTCCGCCGCCGTCCACAATAACTCCTCGCGCGTCCCTTGGCGGGTCGTCTCCGCCTATGTTGGCGGTAACCGTCGCAGCAGCAGCAGCAGCGGCACAGGACCGGCGTAAGCTGTCGAGCACCGCGTCGCGGTCGCCACATCTTATGTCACCGCCCATGCACGGCAGCGCAACCACCCCAAACACGAACACCACGGTCAGTCATTCCATGACGAGCACCACCTCACGCGACCACCTGCTGCCGCCGCCAATGCTGTCGCTGACGAAAGACGCGACGACGGCCGAGCAGATGCCACCGGAGACAACTTCCACCGCCGCTCATTCTACGGCGACGACCCCCGTCCACCAACCAATTGATCCGGCGGGGTCTGCACGGGGCAGTGAGGGCATCGCTGCGGCCTCGCACTCCGCCTTCGTCTCGCTGGTCCCGGACGACGGCAGCAGCAGCGGACACGACGGCGCCGTCCCGCCGCACCACCACCACGAACCCAGTATGCCCGCACCCCCCGCTACCTCGCTGGCCTCGTCAACGTCGTTTGCACGCAGCAACGGCGCGGCGTCGTTTGAGCACGGCGGCGTCACCGCCTCTGCAGACGCAGCGGCATCTTATTTGCTAGTCGCGGCGGTGGTCAGCGCGAGCTCGACGGACTCGCCGACCTATGGAGGGAACACATCGGATATGGCTGCGGTAGTGACGTCGATGGCGGCCTCACAGCAGCAGCTAAGCAACGCCCGAGCAGCACCTCCTGAGAACAGCATCACCACAGCAACAGCGGTGGGTGCCGGGGGTGGGGGTGGGGGTGCTCCGACAGTGGCGCCGTCCGCTGCGCAGACAGACCCGACCACCACCGCCACCGCCACCGCCGCGGCGGCTGTTGCAGCCGGCAACGCACCCGCCACTCCTGCCCGAGTCATCATCTCCATGCTGACGGTGAAAGACCTGCCGGCGGGGTCCATTCACCACATCGGCGGGTACATCTGCGCCCGCTCCGTCAAGATCGTCTCGCGCGTCAAGTCGCGGCAGATGATCTCGCAGGAGCGCGACGCGTGGTGGATGGAGCTGCGCGAAGAGCTGCGGGCCAACGCGCGCGCCTTCCACTGCAACACGGTACTCGGCTACGAGGAAGAGACGCAATATCACGAGGACGTCGTGCTGCTCTCCTTGTACGGCACGGCGGTAATGGTAGACGTCTCCGTCACCGCGCTGCGCGCCGGACCGGAGTACCTCTTTCGTCGGCAGAAGCAGCGCATCGCGTCGAAGCGGAACTGCGCGTTGCTGCACCTATACGACGGACCGCGTCGCAAAGGCGGTCAACAAGGCCTTGGTCTCTTGGTCGGCGAGGTCGGGGACCTGCTGCTGCACCACGAATGCAGTATCTGTCACGGCAAGCCCGTGCCGGAGGTGCTGCTCGCCGCCTGCACGCTGCCCGTCGAACTCAGCTGCGAGGCTCCACCACGGCTGGTGCAGGTGGCCGTCTCAAAGATGAAGCCAAACGTGAAAGGAGTAGATCTGGCGATGGCGGTGTCGCAGGCACTGCCGTTCATCGAGTTTGCGCTACATAAGCAGCTCCTCTTTCACCTCCGCCTCCAGCAAATGAACGCGTGCTTCGCGCTGCGGGTGTCGGTCGTGGTGGGCCCCGACGCGATCATCGGCACCCTGACCGGCTCCGGCTGCCGCCTCGCGGGGCTTCCCATGCCGCGGCTGCCCCGCGTGTCAGTCGTGGATCCGCTGATTGTGAACAAGGAAAGCGTGATGAAACTACGGGATGTGATAGCCTCGCGCCGTCGACGGCGCTACCACAGCAATCGAAACAACACTAGCAGCAGTAGCAGTAGCAGTAGCAGTGGTAGCTCGTCGTCCTCATCGTCCTCCTCTTCGTCTTCGAATTTCAGCGATGGCGCCTCTTCTCGGTCCTCCGCGGCCGCAGGTGGAAAGCCCCTCGCAGCATCGCACTCCACGTTCACAAAAGGTTCAGAAAATGTGGGCGGTGCTGCACGGATGAGCTCAACGGACGACGTACGGGCGGCGGGCGCACCGCCGCAGCAGCCGCAGCAGACGAATAGCACCACGCCGAACTCCATTACATCGCCCAACTCGATGTCCACCTCGAAGCAACGTAACCAACGCCGTCAGCTGCAGCACCAGCATCGACACGAGAAAACAAAACGGCCTCGACGTCATCACCGCAGCAGCCATCGCCACGTACATCACCACAAACGCGGCAGCGCCTCTTCACGCTCCGCCTCTGCGGACGGGAAGTCGAAAACGCCTTCGCTCGCTTCTTCGTCCACCGAGGCGTCGCTTCGAAGTGCGGCGCAGGGACGGCGGGGTAAGAAGCACCACCACAAGCGCCACCGCCACCGCCGCCCAGGCAGCAACCGCAACAGCAGCGTCGGCGCTGCGGGTGGGGGCAACGAGCGCGGGTCGTCGCGCGGCCTCGCGGACTCAGTGTTAAATTCTGCCTCTCCCGTATCAACGTCGAGCAGCAGCAGCAGCACGTCGGATTCGTCTGCTTCCTCTTCCTCGTCTTCACGCTCCTCGCGGGCAAGATCGTCCGATCCAGCGCGCAACTCTCGCAGCACCTCCTCTTCCTCGTCATCGTCTTCGTCTTCGTCCGCCGGCTCCTCGCACTCGTGGGTGCCGACGGAGTCGAGCGAGTCGGAGGATGTGTACGCCCCGGCTGATCGGTGGCGTGCCTCCAGCAGTGGGGTGCGCACCAAGACGGACGACTACGTGGTGAAGATTGACGATGTGGAGGAGGCAGACATGATGTTGGGCATGGTCGACTCGACGAACTTCGAGGATGGGGTGCTGCTGACACTTCCCTATGTGCCGGATAGCGCGAACGCGTTCGACTGGCAAGAGCGGATCGTCCTCGACCGGCGCTACTCGCGCGCCGCGGTAGCACCTTTTATGGGTAGCAGCATCAGTGGTGGTGGGGGTGGGATTGGGCTGGCCAACGGCAGTATGAATGGTGCTGCTGGCGGCTTCTACGGTGGAGCTCTGAAAGGCAGCGGCAGCAGCAGCACCTTTGCAAATGCACTGATGCGCGGTGACGAAGGCGGTGCAGCAGCAGCAGCAGCTGGTAGTGGTGGCGGTGTCGATAGCAATGCAGCCCTGAGCAGTAACACCACTGCAGCAGCAGCAGGTCGTACCGCCCTCACGACGCGTCTGTTAAACGAATACTGCGCCGATGCGAAGCGCGCCTTCGTGCATCGTGCGTGTCGGGTGGCGATGCGCACCGATCACCCGCTGCGCCTGCGCGTCGTGAACCTTCGCGTCGAGATGACATTTGTGCCGAACAGCGCGGACCTGCAGCTGCGCCTGGAGGGGTGCGTGATGGTGGCGAGCAGCGCCGGTGCCCGACGGCTGCGCGCTCTGGAGGACCGCGCGTTTCGGGTGTGCATGCACCACACACTCGAGTCCCTCTCCGGTCTTTGGAAGTACCACCAGCAGCAGCTGCAGAGTCAGGCGAGTCACAGCAACGCGGGCGGTTCGCTGACACCGGCAACACGGCTCGCAGGCACGCCGCTGATGATGCCGGCCAACGCGCACAACTCCGGCGCAGCCACGCCGTGGCTGCCGTGGGGTCCGAACACGCCTGTGCTCTCTCCGATAATGGTCGGGGATGTGAACACCAGTACTTCTCTCTCCTCTCCCGGACAGCAGCAGCAGCAACCGTCCTCCGGACCCGCACTCTCCGTCCCGCACAGCAGCAGCCTTCACACCGTCACCATGGCAGCAGCAACAGGGAGTAAGCTGTCCGTGAACTCGCTGCTGCCGCGGATCGAATCCGGTCCTGCCTACCTCGACGCACGCCGGCTCTTCGTCACGTGCAACGCGCCTTTCTCGATGCCCTACGTGCAGGACATCACTCTGCCGCCGCCGCGGGTGTGGAGCGGCATGGCGACAGCCTTCTCGGAGGACACGGCGACATCGCCGCGGCACACATCGACCTACGCGGAGTACCGCGACAACCGCGGCTCCCGCACCGCAACGCTGTCGCGCCACTGGCACGCCTTTGTGCGTGCAGCAGGGCAGTCCATCAAAGGACTCGTGGATCGCGCCACGGGAGGCACGGGGGACCGCATTGACCGCCGGCTGCAGCAGCAGCGGAGGTGGCTGTCATCGTCGTCGATCGCCGCCGAGGGCAGCTCGGGGGCCGTGGCGGACGGTGCAGGGTCTGTGACCAACGGATCGGCGGACCTGTCAACCACGGCGGGGTTGCGGGATGCGAACTACAGCCACCCCGCCGCCCGTCTACCGCAGGACATGACCCAGCTGCTGCAGCTCATTCCCGAGGTGCTCCTCACCCCGCTCGACTACGTCGCCGGCCGCTCCATCGTGCGCTACCTCGGCCGTCTCTCCCAGCACTTCATCCGCGAGGACTACGACGCCGACACCGGCGATGACTTAAACGTATTCTTCCAGCGCGCTGAGATGGAAATCATGTGCATGGTGCAGGCGATGGTGCGGCTCATGGGCGGCAACGCAATGTTGAAGCACCGCGTGGTGTACCACGAAATCTGCGACTCCGACGGCTCCGGCAGCGCCTTTCTCTTCGCCACGGTGACGGGGGACGTGGTGCAGGTCAGCGCGAGAGAGTACTGGGGGCCGCACCCACTCGACAGCCACGCGAAGAAGAAACAACGCACCAACAGCAAAATGGAGAAGAAGGGCGACGGCGAAGATGGCGTCGATTCAGATAAGGAGGGCAGCACAACACGCAACGACGACAACGCCGCGGCAGCCGCAGAGGGGAGCGACAAGGACCGCAGCCCAACAACCGCAGCGGCGGCAGCAGTATCCGGGAAGCGCCACAAATCTCGCCGCGGTACGTCGCGTCGTCGCGGCAGCCGACGCCACCGCGCCCACGCGCATCGCCGCCGTCACCGTCACCGCCGTTCGTCCTCGTCGTCCTCCTCTTCCTCCTCCGCGGCTTCTAGAATGAGTCGCGACACCGTTAGCAGCAGCACGACGGCCAACAGCCGTACGCCGATGCCGCCGTCCCCCAGTGCGCGTGAACGGCAGTCTCGGATGATGGCGAGTGCGGAAACCGCGCGGAAGAAGGACGCAGAGGAACAACTGGACACGGCGCAGCCAGCGAAGTAAATATATATAAGTGATATGAGGCGGGCGTGGACGCGTGTGTGTGCGTGGAGGTGCAACGATGTGGGTGTGGGAGTTGGGAGGCCGGTTCTCTGCTGAAAGTGGAGCAAACGTCCTGATGATGATGCTGTTGCTGCTGCTGCTGCTGCTGCTGCTGCTGCTGCTGCTGTGTGTGTGTGTGTGTGTTTCTCTGTTTTACCGTTGAACTGCGTACATCGCCGTGGTGCGCCGATGCATTATGTGTGCTCTACTCCGTCTTGTTACGGGACCCACTTTTTTTCTTCTGTTTTGACTGCACATGAACGCTGTTTCTCTGTTGCGCACACCAGCGCTTCCCAAAGAAAGTGCCGTTAAAGTAGTTTTGTATGTGGGTCGGTGTGGTGGAAAAGGAAATGATAAAACGAGCTCTCCGTTGTGTCACCTTGGCTGTCATCCTCCTTCCACCCCCACCCCTCCCAACCTCTGTGTGCGCATACGCCTCTTACATTGCAGTGCAACGAGAAGGGGGAAAGCAAGCACGCTCTCCTTTGCCAGCGTTAGACATGTGCCTACAATATACATCGCTTACTCAACGAAGCAAGAGCAACGATTGGTGTTTCGCAGCCTCTTGTCGTGGAGAGAGCAGGCTCTTCTACCCCTCCCCCACTCTCCTTCTATTTCTCACTCTCTTCCCCTTTCCTCCTCCTCCTCCGGCCTCGTTTCAATATCGCGGCACATCTCGTTTGTTTGCCGTTGTATTGTTCTGTCTTCCTTCTTTGGGTTACGCGGGGTTTGTTTTTCTCTCTGGTGCTTCGACAGCAAGCCCCTTTTTTTTTTCCAACGAATGAAGAGCCTTGCGTCTTGTGGACGAAGCGTCGGGCTGCTCCGTAGAGTTACCGCGTGCCGCTGCTCATGTCCGAGCATGCCCGCTCTGCGCTGCTCCGGCTCGTCCGCAGCAGGACAGGCAGGATCGGGGGGCAGCGCCCCTCGCGCGGACGGCTACGACCAGTTCCGACACCAGCAGCAGCAGTATCACCGACGCTCCTTTCACGAAAAAGGATCTGCAGCGCCGCGTGGAAACGCAGAAGGCGGTGCGCAACAGCAAGATCAACAGACCCAGTCGCGTGCATCGGCGTCTTCCTCTTCCTCCTCCTTCTCCTCGACATCAGAGAGGGTGAAGGATGAGCGCGTGTACGGACTCGGCTCTGCCACGGCGCAGCAACGCCGGCAGGTGCGTCAGCAGTGGGAGAAGTCGTTTCTAGGTCGCGTGCACTACGATGAAGGGATGCACAGCCGCTTCGCCGAAGCGCTCGCGTCAGAGGAAGAGGAGGCCTACGGGCAGTCGATTGAGGGCGCCTCGCACGCCGAACTCTTCCCGCGCTGGCCCGAAGATGAGGAGGCCCCGCTGGCGCAGTTTCGACGGCTGCGGCCCGCGCTGCAGCTGCGTTACATCGTGAACCGCCTGAGCATGGGCGAGCGCCGCATCCGTTACGCTGCGGACTACGGCAGTCTTTCGATGATGCATCAGCTCAACCTGGGTGAGCTGATGGTGCATGAGGCGGAGAAGCTGTTGGGGGAGCTGGGCTGGATGAACGAGGATGTGGCGGCGCAGATTGAGGAGCTGAAGATGCTGGCGGCGAAGATCAAGTACGACTTTGACCTCGATTAGTCCTGCGCGCGTTGCTACTTGATGCTCTTGAGTCGGGGAACGAAGCTTTCTACCTCCGTGTGTGTGCGTGTGTGACTCTGTCCTTCAATGAGAAGACTGTCACAGCAAGCCAACGATGTGTATCGCTGTTGGTGTTGTTTTCACAAAAGCATTTGCCAAAAAAAGGCAAACCTTTCTACTCATGGTTTATGCGATCTCTTTACCTGTTCGTCATGCAAACGCGCGCTCTCTTGTCCGCGCCAGCGCCATTATTCCACGTGGGCTTCTTGTGCTCTTCTCTGGCAAAAGCAAAGGGTGGAAAGGGAAGAGGCCCTTCGCCACCCCAGGCCGCCCGCCAAGAGCGCCGCCCCCCGCCCCCCACCCTCGCGATTCCTTCGCTACCTCCCCCCCCCTCCCCCTTCCTTTTCTCCTTTTCCATCGACACAATGCTTGTCGTCGTCTTCTTCACTGTCTCTCTCTCTCTTTCAGTAGCCACAACATAGCTGATTATTACTATTACTTCTTGAAAGCACGTTGCGGTACAGCTAACGTCGTCAACTGCTGCTGCAGATACTCAAACCGTTCAATACAAAGCGCCGTGATCCATGAGTTAGATATCACCCTCACCCATCACACACCGTAGTTCGACTACACACACTTGTCTTCCTTTGTTTGCTCTGTAGTACTACTATTATTATCTTTCCGTTGAGAAACCCTGGCACTCCAAGACGAAGAAGCTGCACTATAAACACCCTTTGCAAATACACCTCCCCATACAACTACAACCACCTGTGATTTTCTTAAATCACGCCTTGTCTGTTTGTTTGTTTTTCTCCTTTTGAATTCTTCGTTCTTTGCTGCACGCGGTGTGCGCTGCGTATACATCAACATTTTTGTTTGTCCTGTTGTGTTGCTCTTTGATTCGTCTCTCTCTCTCCTACCCTTCTCGACTTCTCTTGTATCTCTTCTCACTATTATTATTATTATTATTATTCATCCCTGCCGTGTCCCGCGCTGGGGTACAGCGCAAAAAAAAAATAAGCTGTTCTGCGGTTGTGTCGTACGGTCGATGAGTGGCAACGGAGCGGCTACGTAGCTGTGGCACGTCTTTCTCATTTTTTATTATTATTATATATATTTCTAGCCTTCGCGGTGCCGCCGCGCACGCTCCGCATTCTTCTTTCTCGGAGTTTGGTGAAGACCAAAAGCAGAAGAGAAAACCCCGACAAGAGTCGAAAATGAAGCCGTCAAAAACAGTCGCTGCAACGGCACCGTCGCGGCGTCGCATCAACGCGTTCAGCGACGTCGACATCAAGAAGCCGAAGGGTGCCACCGTCCACGTCGACCCCCCGCGGCCACCGCGGCAGCACTCTCACGCGTTGAAGCAACTTCCCCTTCTCACAAAATCGAACTCGGCCGCCGTCGTCGACGGAAAGCAGCAAGAGGCAGAGCAGCAGCGGCAACAACGCGTGCCCCCGCTCACGGGGGCCGTCGCCACGGATGTCCCGCGATTGATCGCACCGCGGCCTTCTGGTAATGGCCCCAGCGAGGGCGAGCTTTCCCCTTCCTCCGCACCAAGCACAACGGCGATGCGTCACAACGAAGGACGGGGCAGCTCGGCCGATGCCGCGGTGGCGAAACGGTCGGTGTCCATTCAAGAGCCGCCCAGCGCACAGCGGAAAACACAGAGTTTCATGACACGTGCGGAACAGGAGGAGATGCGCATGCGTGAAATCAAGCGGCTAAACAAGGTAGAACAAGAGAAGGCGCAACCGAGGAAGGCGACGAACGCGGCGGAGATTGCCGCGGCAGCAGCCGATGCCCGCCAGCAACTCGGTCAGCCAACCTACGTGGCGATCACAGCGCAGAAGACGTCCGCGGAGGCCCAGTACGAGGCGGCGCATCATTACACGCACCTCGTGGCGGATCTGCATCAGCGCCTCGGAATCCTACCAGCACCGCAGCCGCAGACGCAACGGACGCCAGAGGAGAACGGCGAAGCGACCGCAGCGGCGCAGCGTCGGCTCGCACCGCCCGCCAACGTGGTGGAGAACGTGGCCGACAAGGTGCTCGCGCTGCGGCGGGCGGAGATGGCAGAGATGGTGGCCCGCCTGCGGCGCCTCCTCGCAGAGAGCAACGTAACGTCGACGGCGGGCGAGATTCCGATTATTCCGGCCGGCGACCTCACCGGCACTCCGTGTCCCGCGTGCGACTTCTGCATTGATATGACCTCGGAGGAGACGATTCGGACGTATCTCGTACCCGTGCTGCAGGCGCTGGCCGCGGAGCGAGTCGTGATGCCGATGGCGGGGCGGCGCGGCAGCGTTTCCGTGACGAGCGCCGCGGCCTCGTACGGCGCGACCACGTTAGACTCCTTTCGCGTGCACAGCAGCCGGAAGGCGAACCACTCGGTGGGGAGTGGGCATCGCGAAGGATCCACCGGCGGCTCTCCACCGCAACAGCAGCAGCAGCAGCAGCTGGCGGTGGTGGGGGAGTCGCCGGAGCCGTCGCGCTACGCCGTTCCTCGTTGTTTCCGCCTCGAGCTTGTCCCGTTTGGCCTCCGCCGCGTCGCCCTCCACGTCTCCGTCCACGCGTACTTGACGGAGCACTTTTACAAGGCCCACGCACAGCGGCAGGAACGCCTCTTCTCCCTTGCCCTCGACCCGCCCTACCCGGAGAACTGGGAGGCGTGGACGGCGGCGGACCGGACACGGCTGCTCTATCACGTGCTGGACGATCTTCTGCACGGCGGCCCGCACCCGCCCGTGCCGTCCGCCACGGAGGACATCGTTCTCTTCCCAGCACACATCGACGCCACGCGCGATGCGCTCTGGAAGAGCGTGTGGACGTTGCGCTCGCTGACGCAGCTGCTGACGGTGCCGGAGGACGCCATTGCGAGTTACTTGGGCCCCGAGGTGATGTTTTACTACGCGTGGATGAACCACTACGCTCGCTGGTTGCTCGGCGCAGGCGTGTTGGGCGTTGTCGTATCGCTGCTGAGCTCTGTGCGGCTTGTCGACCCGGTCGTGTTGTCTGGTGCGTACGCAGCGCCCACCTCAACCTTCACGGCTGTGCACTTCACCATTCGCCGCTACCTGCAGCACGGTCTCGACGCCACCCTTCTCCCGCTTTTCATCATTGCCATGATTATTGGCAGTGTGCTGTGCATCAAGACGTGGGAGCGGCGGTGCAGCTTCCTGACCATGCAGTACCACCTCTTCCAGCAGGAGGGCCGCGACGAGCCACGCCGCGACTTCCACGGCACCCCGGGCCGCAACCCGGTCACCGGAGAACCGCAGCTGATCTACCCTGCGTGGTACCGCGCAGCCGTGCTGCAACCTCTGGCCTGGGCGATTGTGTTTCTCTTCATGGCCGGCACCATCGCGGTGATGGTGTGCTCGCTGAACCTCGATGGCATGGTGGGTGACCCGTCCAGTCGTCTCGCCATTTCTCTCCTTCGGCAGTACACCATCAACGGCAACGTCCTCGACGCCGCGGTGCACCCATACATGGCGATGCTGCCCCGCATCGGCTACTCCGTCTGCATCGCGGTGCTGAGCTTTCTGTTTACGGAGCTCGCGACGTGGCTGACACGGATGGAGAACTACCGCTACCGCGGTGAGTACGTTCGCGCCCTCACGCTGAAGCGGGTCGCCTTTGAATTTGTCAACTCCTACGCGAAGCTCATCTTCGTTGCATTCGGCCGCTGCAGCCTACCGGAGCTGGCTTCGAATCTGCAGTCCATTCTGTACGTGGCCGTGCTGAGTCGTTTGGTGACCGACACAGTTCTCCCGTTCTTTGTCACGCATCGTCGACGTGTCGCGCGCCGCATCGTGCAGCACCATGAGGCGACGAGGGAGGAGAGGAAAGAGGCGGGCAGTGCCGACAAGAACCCGCTATCCTCTGCATTAGCCGCAACAACAGCTATAGCAGCGGCGGCGGCAGCAACAGCCACAACGGAGACGCTGCCGTCCGCCGCGCCGGCGACGCACGGTGGCGACGCCGCATCTCCGCTGGACGAGGTGGATGAAATGTTGGATCCCTACGACGTCTACGTGGACTTCGTTGAGATGATTATTCAGTTCGGCTACATCCTGCTCTTCGCCGCCGCCTACCCTCTCGCCTCCTTCGTCGCGCTGCTGTCGAACATCGTCGAGGTGCGCTCTGACCTATTCAAGATGTGCTACGTCGTCCGACGGCCGGTTCCGCGGCTGGGGCTGCAAGAGAACGCGACGTGGTGTGGCGTCATGCGTGTGTTTGCGATGGCGGCTGTTATCACGAACACGTTTCTGCTGGCGTTCACCTCACATCAGATGGCGCGGTGGTTCCCTGCGTACTTCGCGACGAGCAGCACGCCCATCGCCCTCCCGCTCGGCTCGATGAACGACATCGCGCGGGTGAACGACGCCACGACGAGTGCGGCGAGTATGGCCAGTTTGGCGAACAACGCAAGCGTCACACAAGTTGCCTTTGACATGATTCCCGGCAGCGGTCGCATTGTGGTGTTCTATGCCGTGGTGATGGAGCACGTAATGGGGCTGGCGGCGGTGTTCCTGCTCTGGCGCATCCCCTCCACCCCACGGGCCGTGCGCCATTACAAGGAGCGCAGGCTGTACGAGCGCATGTCCCGCTGCTAAAGCCCCCGATCTGCCATCAACACAACACAAAAGAAAGGGAGGTAAAAACAAGATGATTTACTGCGTGTATGTGTATCTTAACAGCGAAGGTGGAGATGAGGGTTATGTTTGTTTGTTTGTTGAGTGAAGAGGGTTGTGTGAAAGGTTAGCGGGTTTGCGGTTCACGTATTACGCTGATGGTCATCGTGTCCCTCCTCATCTCTGCTCGGCCGTTGCGGACGCTCTCCCCCCGCCCCCTCCACCATTCCACCATTCCACGGGCTTTCTTCGTTGTGTATCGAGCGCTGTCTTCTCTCTCTCTCCTACGATCAGACCAAACACACATCAGCATTTATTTAGAAGGTATGGAAAACTCCCTACAATGCAACCGGTGCTTTGACAGTTATCCTCTCCTGCGTCACAGGGTGATGAGGAGAAGTGCTATCGAAGGGAGGGCGGCGTAGTACCACGTGACTCGCCCGACAACTGGAGCACAGCTGTTGCGCAGCGCGGTACTCGCGGTGCACCTCCACTCCATGTTGTGTGTGTGTGTGTGTGTGTGTGTTTCCGGCCCCTCCTCCTTATGCCTGCCTCTCCTTCACGCGACTGCTGCCTTCCCTCACCGTGATGCATCATGTTCGCCTATGGTTGTTGTTATGGTGGTATGAAGCGTTCTGCGTTGCTTTGTTCTGTTTTCGTTCTTCCGTTTGCACCGTCACCTTGCTTATTATTCTTATTATTATCGACTCTCTCTCTGATTTTGTTGTTTCTCTTTTTTCCAGTGCCCAGCGATGTACATCACCATCCGCGGACGTGATCAGTACAACCGTGACCGACTCGACGTGAGCGGAGATCTCACCGTGGCGGAGTTGCGCGCGCGACTCACGCGCGACTTCGGCATCAACGCTGCAAGGGAGAATCTCCGCCTCATCTACCGCGGGTGTCTCCTGAACGACGCCAATGCCCTGAGCTTCTACAACATCGAAGACGGCAGCACGGTGCACGTCGTGGTGCAGAGGCGTTCCGCGGAGGGCGATGGCAGTGATCCCAGCAGCGGCAGCGGCAGCAACATTCCACCACAATGGAACGCAGGCGCGTGGTCGCAGCAAGTCTTTGGCGCGGCCACCGCGGCCGTTCCGTGGAATACGCTGGCCTCTACGATCTCCAGCAGCATCGCAAGCGCAATGCAACAGGAGCTGCGGCATCAGCAGCAGCGATCCGCTGCGTCGTCGCACTCCTTCAACCCTTTTGCGTCTGCGGGCATGGGAGGCGCGACGGCCCCGAGCGGGGAGGGCGGCGGGGAATTTTTCTTTACTGCCACGGCAGACGCGCCGGACCTTCCAACCGCACCGGCGCCAACAACAGACTCGTCTTTCAACGCCGCTGATGACGGTAGCACCGGCGGTGCCAGAAACGACCACACGCCGCCGCAGCAGCTCGGAGCGCAGATTTCGTCCTTCATTTCAGCGGCGATTGCGAATGCCATGAACGCACACAGCGCGGCTGGTCAACCGCCACAACCTCCACAACCCCCACAGCCGCAGCAGCCCCCACAGCCCCAGAGCACAGCAGCAGCAGCAGCAGCAGCAGCGGCGGCAGCGGCAGCTGCGCATGCACAGACGCAGGAACCGTTGTTCGGCAACAACACAACTCCCTCCCCTACGGTGCCTCCGCAGCCGCCGGCAGTCGTGCACCTGCACGTGCATTGCACACCAGATCAGCTGGATCAAATGCCGGCACGTCTGCGCCAACTCGCCGCGGAAACTGCCGTCAGCGGCGTCGAGGTGCACATCGAACCGGTAAGCGTGAGCAGCGAGATGCCGCGTGGACATCCGTCATCACCGCCGCAGCAGCAGCAGAAAACTCCTCCTGGTGATGTGGGTATGCGGACCCTTTACAGCCCCGCCCCGCCGCTCTTCCCAGCCAGTTTCTTATCCCCGCAGCACTCGGCGGAAGGCGACGGTGACGCTGTCGGCACGTCTGCTCGAGCGCGAGAACAATCAGCCGGGCAGAAATTGGACTACCTGGAGGAAATGGCGAAGGAACTGCTGAACGAGGACGAGGGAGATGATATGGACAAAGACACCCAAGCGCCGGAGCAGCCCGCCACGCAGCACGCGCATTTCCGGTCTGTCAACGAAGTCGAGGATGAGTACAGTGGCGCTCCGCGTAGTGTGCCCGAGGACGGAGGGACCACCTCCGCAACGCCCGCGCAAGTCCGTCCTGCTGCGACGGGTTCTGTAACTGCAACGTTGGCACCACAGCCGAGGAGCGCGTTCACTCACTCGCCTGACCAACAAGACGCACACCCGGACAGCTGGAGCGTACGCTCCGGCGATGATTGGGTGATGCTGGAGCCGAGCCAATCGCGCCCCTCTGCTCCGTAAGGCTGAAACGCACAAACGGGGAGAGAAGAATGAAATACCTCGAACCTGCGTCTGGCAAATCACCGTCGTTGGTTTCCTAATCGTGTTCTTGGGACCGCCTCGGTTGCTGTGTTAGTTTGTGTTGCCTTTGGATTCGTTGCCGTCACGGACGCCCTTCCTGAAATGGGGGAAAAGAAAAACAGCGTTCACGTCCCTCTGCCGCCCAGTGGATGTTTGTTTATTTTTAACTACTTTTCCTTTCGTTCCTCGGTGCTTTCTTGCTTGCTGACTTGCTGGCCGGCTTGTGCTCTTTCTCCTTCTCGTAACCGCAACCGCGTGCGCACACAACGCGGCAGACTTGTCATTTACCTTTGTGGTGCTTCTTCAGTGTTTACTATAATGCTTAGTATTATTGAAATGAGGAATGATTACCGTAATGAAAGAGACAGAGCTTCACCCTCGCGCGAAGCGTCGGGGCGTGCATACACAGCGCAGCCTTTTTTTTTTTTGGCGAGCACTTCGTTGTGGGAGTTGCTGTCGGTCTCCTTCGCAAAGAGGCAAGCAAACCATCCTCAAAAGAAAAGAAAAACTTCTTATGGAGCCGTTCGTCAACGGCATGAGTGGTTTTTTACTTCCGCATTCCATATATGTTTTGGTTACTTCTACTTTCATCTTGGTTGTTGGCGTTGGCGCTCCGCTCGTTATTGATTGTTTTCTTTTTCCACTTGCCGATGCGCGAGGGAGGTTTACTTTCAAGCGTCCCCTGCGCACTTACTCCTTTTCTTTTTGCCGTGTGCTTTCCTCCTCCTCCTCAGACGATGTCCACCGCTGCCCACACATTCCGCCGCATCGTTGCGCACGACCTCTCCGTCGACTTCCGCGCCGCCACCTCCATCGTGCGTGCGGACTTCCCAAAGGAGCTGCACCCGAAGGCGGTTCTCGTGAGGAACAAGTTTGTTGGCATCAACGCCAGCGACATCAACTTTACAGCTGGCATCTACCAGCCGGATGTGCGCCCGCCCTTCGGGTGCGGCTTTGAGGCGGTCGGCGAAGTCGTCGCGGTCGGGAGTGCCGTGTTGGATCTAAAACCCGGTGCGGCTGTCGCGACGCGCGAGTACGGCGCGTTTGCCGAGCATCAAGCGGTGGCGCGCCGTCACGTGAAGCTGATTCCGTCTCTTGCGAAAGAGTACCTCCCGCTGGACCTCAGTGCCACGACGGCGTCCATTGCGCTGGAGCACGTCTTGAAGCCGCTGAAGGGTGAGCGGGCGGTGGTGACGGCGGCCGCAGGGGGGACCGGGCAGTTCGCGGTACAGTTGCTGAAGCACGTGTATGCGTGTTCGGTGGTGGGCACCTGCTCCTCGGAGGAGAAGGCGGCCTTTCTGGTGGACAAGCTGCACTGCGATGGGGCGGTGAACTACCGTAAAGAAGGCGGTCAGGTGGCGGCTGCGCTTCGGCGGCACTACCCGCGCGGCGCGCAAATCGCCTACGAGTCGGTCGGCGGTGATCTGCTGGAGTCGGTCACCGCAAGTCTCGCCCTGCGAGGGCGCATCGTCTCCTTGGGCTGCGTCTCGACCTACCAAGATGGCTCGACGGAAGCCGTTGCGCGTCGCACGCCGCTGCCGCTGCAGCTGCTGGCCCACAGCGCGTCTCTTTCGACGTTCTTCCTGCCTCACTTTGCCAAGTATGAGGTCGCCCACTTTGAGAGACTGTGCGCACTGCATGACAAAGGGGTGATCCACAGCTTTGTGGATCCGACGGTGTTCAAAGGGTTAGAGGGGGTGTACGACGCGATTGACTGGATGTTTGCGCGGAAGAACTGCGGCAAAGTCGTTGTGGAGCTGTGAAAGCCGCCCGCCATCGCGTGTGTGTGTGTGTGCGCGCCGGTGTCGTCGCTTCATACAATTCCCAAAAACACATAAACGCGGATTGATATCGCTTTTCTCGTTTCTTTCTCTGTCCCTCTTAGCGTTACAAAGGTAAAGGAGCCGCAGCTCAAATATATACATGTGCCTTGTGTTTCTCGTCCTGAAGTGCAGTTAGTGGTTCCTCGTTGATGTTGCCTTCGCCTCCCTTCTTTCAACGCTGTCGGTTGGCCCTTTCTGCGGTCCCTCCGCCTGCTTCCTCTTGGGCGTGTGTGGGTGTGTCTGTCCGTCTGCGCACTCCTTGTCAGATCTCCTTCCTTCCCTTCCCTCTCTCTCTCTCGCGGTGGAACTGGGTCCGCGAGCCGCGTTAGTCGTTTCGTGCATTCCTTTCTCTTTTTCTTTTGTCTGTGTATTTTGTTTTCATCCCCCGTTTCTTTTCTCATTCGGATCCATCCACTCGCCTTGCGAAAGGTAGTCAGCACACTCCTGCCTCTGCACTCCGCACACCAGCCTCGCAGAACATACTCCTCCACGTGTGCAACGAGCTTCTTCTTCCTCCCTCCTCTGGCTTCACCGCAAGAGCAGCCATGAGCAGCTTCGGAAAGATCGAAATGCCGACGACGGCCGAGGAGGCGAAGGAGTTGGTGGCGATGGTCCGTCAGCAGCCCGACAACCGCGTCTGCTTCGACTGTCCGCAGAAGAACCCGAGCTGGTGCAGCGTGACCTACGGCGTCTTCCTTTGCATGGACTGCTGCGGCCGTCACCGTGGCATGGGGGTGCACATCACCTTCATGAAGTCCGCCGAGTTGGACAGCTGGCGCCCACTGGAGGCCCTCCGCATCGCCCTCGGCGGCAACGGCCGAGCAAAGCAGTTCCTGAAGCAGCACGGCAACGTCGATCCCAGGTCCTTCTACACCTCGCCCGTCGCCGCGCTGTACAAGCGCGTCCTCGACAAGGCCGTGAACGACTTCCAGCAGAGTGGCCAAGTGCCTCCGGCGGCACCGGTGGTCAGCTGCACGCCAGCCTCGCCAAAGTCGTCCGCAGCGTCACCGCTCAGAGACTCCAGCAACGCGTCGCCGGTCCCATCCTTTGGTCCGTCGCCTACAACAGCAGCGGCAGCGGCAACTGTCCCATCGCCATCGTCGTCTGCGAACTCCAGCTCCCGGGCTGAGGTCTCTTCGCAGGGAAGCCCGGTGGCAACGGTGCCCATCGTGGCCATCTCGTCGAAGCCCACGGGCCTCGGCACGAAGAAGCTGGGCGGCGGTGCTGGTGCGACGAAGGCGAAGAAGAAAGGCTTCGGCGGCATCGCCCGCGTGGAGGAAGGCACGATCGCCGAGTCCACGCAGCCCGTCTCGGCCGATCTCCTATACGACCGCGAGGCGGAGCAGCGCAAGGCGGCTGAGGAGGAGAAGGAGCGGCAGCGGCAGGCCGATCTGGCCGCTGCGGCGAGTCGTGCAGTGGACCCAAGCAATCTCGGCGGGCGACGCAGCAGCAGCAGCCAGGGCACGGCCACCGGTACGAGCACGCCACAGCCGCAGCGGCAGACGGCGTTTATCAGCAAGAGCGCGGAGAACGTGACGGGCGATTTGTTTGACGAAACGGCGCGCGCGCCTGCACCGGCACCGTACTCGCCCAGCACGACGGCGTCGCCCTACTCAGGCATCGGCACGGCGAGCAACGCCTCTCGCGCAGCTGCGGTGCCCGCCAAGTCGCCCTCCATATCGGCACCCGCAGGTGCGACGGCCTCGTCGACGGCTGGTCCACCGCGCGCCGGGCCGGACTTCCGCGGTCTTGGCAATCAGGCGTACGTGCCAGAAGGTCCCTCCGGTGCTGGCAACAGCAACGGTGGTGGCAGCAACTACCGGTCGGCGGCAAATGACGCCGTGTGGAACATGTCGGAGATGGCGCACAACCTGCAGCAGAGTGCCGCCGCGGCCACCGAGTCGTGGGGAACAGCCGTGAAGAACTTCTTGGACGACCTATAAATCCCAATATATATAGTTCGAGTTGATCTGGCCATCCTTTTCGCTGCTGGTGCGTGTTCACTTGTCGAATGCCCTTTCGCAGACCTCTTTGCTTTACGCCTTTGCGGCAACGTTAAGCGAGCTATGCCCACTGGCAGTGCATAATTTTCCATTGAGTTTTTGTAGAACAGATAATGTTGACTTTCTTTCTCGTGTTGTTGATTGATATTGCTGACGTTGTTTTCGGTAGGAGTGGATGGACACGTGTGGGGGCTGGATGCTTCACGCTGGCTGAGACCACGCCTCTATCCATTTCTTTGTTGTGCGTGTGCTTTCCCCTTGTTCAGGCGGCGGGTGTTGTTCCCACGGCGTTGCAGGAGACGAGAAAGAAGTACCGAAACAAAAAGCCCGTGGGGCGGGGCAGTCCTCACCACAGAGCGGCGGGGGCTCCCCAACCAGCAAACGAAAGGCAAGCAACAACGGCAATAAGAAGCGCCACGAAATGAGTTGTAACCACAAAAACCGGAATTAACAACGCGGACGGCGCAGCATGGCGTCGCGCACGCTTCTCGCGCCTGCATTCTCGCATCACTCGCGCTCTCTTCCCCGCCCCCCTTTGCCTTTTCCTTTCCCCGCCGGCGCCTTGTTTTTTGGGCGGGCCTCGGCGCCCGACCAGGCCCTCCCCGGCGGCGCCCAGCAGCCCCGCCCCCCGGCGAAGGGCGAAGGCCGCCGAGCCCCCACAACGACAGCTGAGAGGCGCAGGAGGGAAAGCAGCGAACAGATGCGAGAACAGAGAGGGCAAAAGCACGCAGACGGCCCACAACCCTGCCGCCCTTGTTGTTGTCTTGCGTGGGTGTCTGGGGTCCCTATGCGATCTGGCCGCAGCCGTGAGGAGCAATCGTCTGCTGCCGCCATTCTCTTCGTTACTTGGCTTGTTGTGTCTTCTCGTTCGTTGTGGCCGGCGCAGTTTGCACGGCGGCCTCCTCGTACGGCGTCGATGCCCAAAAGCTGTCCACACACGTTGCAACGGAATGAAAAGGGAAAAGAAAAAATAAGACAAGAAAAGGATCTCTTCCTCTTACACACGCGCGGGCGCTGCTGTGCTGCTCTCATGCGTGGCGGTGTTAATGCGATCGGCGAAGAGCAAGGTGGAGTGCGCCTCCGCCAAGATGATCGGCGCCTGGTGGTCGAAAAGCGAGAGCGCCAGCTCACGCGCGCGCCTCCCTCTTTGGTGCTGCATGCTGGCCGGCAGCACCACCTCTGCCACCGTGCACGGCCGGACGCAGGCGAGCACGAGCGTCTTGCACGGCGCCCCGAGCGCGGACTGCAGCAGCTGCGTCGTCTTGCACGTGCGAAACGGGATGTGCGGGGACGAGGCCCGCCAGCTGCGCCACCACTGCGCGGCGCCCTGCCCCGCCACGTGCGTGTCCATCAACGACAGAACACGGCGCCGCAGCGGGAGGCCGTGCTCGGTGCCGCCGTCCTGCACAGAAGACGACACGCCGAAGCGGCCGCCCGCGTCCAGCTTTGAAAAGCGCGGCTGCAGAAACACGGGTGGGCTGCGGGACAAGGACACGCCGGGCCGGCTGATCAGCGCGCCCCACCGCTCCGCCAAGGACGCCGCCGCCCCTGCCGTTGCGTGGGTGGAACCCCCCTGGTTCTTTTGTGTAGCCGCAGAAGCACCGTCGCAGCCGTCCGCGGCATCGCGGCACGGGTCGGCGCGCGCGAGTGCTATCAGCACGTCCTTCACCGAGCTGAGGCTAGCGTTGATGTACTGGGTTTCCTTCAGCGAGTCCCCGGCAGCACCGCCCAGCTCAACCCGTTCGCTGCCGGCGAAGTCCGTGAAGAGGAGCTCCGTCACACACGTCGGCGCGGGCGCAGCAGCAGCAGCAGCAGCAGACGCACTCGCTGAAGCCGCTGCGCTCGCCTCCGAAGAAGGCATGAGCGATGCATGGAGGAAGTGGTAGCCTTTCGGTTTCGTGGCCTCTTGCCCAACGTCGAGCTGCGTGATGTTTTCAGCAGGGAGGTCATCGCCAACGGCGCCGCCAGTTAGCACCCCTCCTGGTGCTGCCCCAAAGGCAGAAGGGATTACTGGAGGAGACGCTTTTGCCGCCGCAGCCGACGCCTTCTCCGGCGCTGCAGGTCTTTGCACCTCAACCCGGAAGCGCAGAAACAAGTGGCTGCGGCTGGACTGCGTGCTGCGCAGCGTCGCAGCGGAGCGTCGGCGCTGCATGCCGAGCTGAATGGCCTGCAACGCCTCCGCGGCGGAGCGAACCTCGACCTCGCTTGCTTTCACACGCCACTGCGACTGTGTGGGCGTCCGCTGCTGCTGCAGCTGTGCGAGCGCCGCTGCGGCATCCTTGCTGTCTCGCCGGGTCGGCGGCACCAGCTCCACCTGCAGCTCCGTCAGCTGTTCTGGGTTGCTGTTCTTGATGTGCGGCGCAGGAAGCCAGCCGGCATTCCAGCGGGGCCACGTGGACGGGTCGAATACCACACGCCGTGCTCTGTGTCCCTCCCCCTCCTCTTCATTCTGCTCCTGCTGTGCAACAGACGCCGTGGTGGGTAGAGTGGGCAGGAGGTCGTAGACGTGGTCGTTGTACACCTCATACATCGAGAAGACAACCGACTCGACGATCGGCCCAGCAGACGCCTTGGTGCGAGCAACCACGTTTGCGCGCAGATGCGCCGTCAGCCAGGCCACGGCACGCGGCAGCAGACCGTCCTCCTCGTCGATCCCCGCCTGGGCACGCCAGCGGCGCTCTTCACGGGCGTGTCGCTCGCTGCTGCGCTGACCCCGGTCCCGCTCCTCCGCCTGCGCCACCGACTGCAGCACACGCATCTCCATCTCTTCGTCGGCGGGGTCGAGGCAGCGCGTGATGCCGCGACGAGGTGGGTTCCCGACGCCTGTCAAGCCATGCGGATGTCGCTCTCTTGCGGAAAGGACTGCTTCATTGCCAACTTTTCTGGGCAAAGGTCCCCCACCTTTTACATCGACGTCGTGCTCCTCGTGCTTCTCGTCCTCGACGGTTGACAACGACAACGCGCTATCACTGTAGCGGCTGCTGTAACTCGCTTTCGCCGACGTGGTGCCTTGCGTGGCCGCATTTGGCGCGGCGGTGGCGTCGCCCTTCGACTGCCGTGGTTGCTGCCGCGACGTGCGGGATGGCGGTGCGGGCGGTGGCTCTACTGAAGGACCGATCAGCGTGTAGGTCTTGCCGCTGCCCACGGCTCCGAAGGCCAGCACCGCGACGCGCTGCCCTGTGCGGCACATGTGCTCCAACAAGGGCTGCAGCTGCTCCTTGAAGAGACGCTGCTGGGCAAGGCCATCGGTGCCGCTCCTGCTGTCGTAAGCGGCGTAAAGGGAAAACCGCCGGCGCACGTCACGCGAGGGGTCGACCACCTCGACACAGCGCGGCAGAGCAGCAGCAGCAGTAGTAGTAGTAGTCTGGTCTTTCGGGATGTTGTTCGTCGAGGTGGTCGCAGCTGCCAACGGGACCTGCACAGCGTACCCGCGATCGAACTCCTCCTCTTCGGCAGACGCCAACACCCAGTCCGGCAGCCACGGCCGTCGCAGCGGCGGTCGCACGCGGGCCACGACGCGCAGACACCCGCGCAACTCCTCCGTCGTGCAGCGCCGCACGTGCGCGTCCCACTTGAGCTGCGCGACTTCCGCCTCCTTCCGCACCTGTTGTTGATGCAGCGCCTGCAGACGAGCCTTCTGGGTGTGATACGCAGCGATCGCAGAGAGACAACGCAAGGAGAGTTGCTCCCCCTCCGTCTCTAGCTCCCTCAGCAACTCTTGCGACATGGCGTAGTGCTGATCGTTGTGGCCGTGCAGAACACGCAGCCAGTGATCTAAGATTTGTTCACGATACTGACCCAGGCGGGCCCGCGCGGCATCGATCTCGTGCGACACGGCATCCTCTTGGGCGGTTCGCAGCACCCGCAGTCGCGACGCCGACTCCTGCGCTCGCAGCCCGGCCAGCCGCGCCGCGAGCAGCTCCGCCTTCTCCGCTTCCAGCGCGTGACAGTGCCGCTGCAGCCGCGTGAGGAGGCGCTGCTGTTCCGCCGCGGCGGCGCTCACGATGGCATCTTTCTGCGCGTCGTAGGCCGCCTGGAGCGCGTCGACGCTGCCACGCAGGCGCTGAGACTTGTCTGCCGCGGCGCTGTCGTGCGGTGGCAGCGGAGGCGGAGGTACGGTTGTAAACGAGGATAGTGCTGAAGCTGGTGCTGCTGCTGAAGAATCCTGCTGTGTGCTGAGTCCTGGCGTGACGCCGTGTGCCGTCGCCGCCCTTCGCGGTGTGTGGAAGAGCGCAGAGCTCGCAACGGCGGGTGCAGGGGCCGGCGCCATCGGTGCAGCGCGGCAGGGAGACGCAGCAGACAGCGCTAACACCGGCTTATCGCCGCGTGTCTCCACGCCAGACACACGCGTTGGGGGCTGCGGCGGCGGTGGGGAGCGCAGGAGCGCCGACGGTGGCGACGTCTGACTGAACGCCGGTGATGTGAAGGCTGTCGACGGACGCGAAGGTGAAGAGGCGGACGGTGGCGAGGAGGGCAGAAACACCGCTACGGGCGGTGGCTTGCTGCGGTCCCACGGGCACTCCATGGTGTTGCTCGAAGCATAATTTGTAGTACTATTATTATGCTGTGGTGGGCTCGCGACGAGACTGGTCACCGGCGTTGGCTTGGGAGAGAAATGAAGGGGAGAAGGCGGCGGTGAAGCCGTGGAACTCTTCGAAGTAGAGGGGGTGTGCGCCGCCGTGGAGGCCCGGTCCGCTGGTGCCTGCGTGCCGCCACTAATTGATGGAAGACTTGCCATCTGCTCCATCGACGACGGCGCTGACCCCGTCGCGGCGGAGACGCCGATGCCCTGCAGCACACCAAGCGGCTTCGCGAGGGAGGCCACGGACGGCGGGCAGGCAACGTATTCCCCCTCCTCCCCCTCCTCGTCCGCCGCCCCTGCCTCGCGCAGGGATTTTAAAAGACATTTGTTGGGCGGCGGAGGCGGCGTCGCGCTGGCCTTGACGACTCTGTTTGAGGCGAAATCAGGTCCGCTGCGCGTTGCGCCTGGCGTCGAAGGTATTGGCTTCGCACCGCTGGTTCGTGTGCGCGTGGAAGATGGAATTTGTGATGATGATGGGGCCCGCGTGGAGGACCCCGCCCCAGGCGGTTTGGCCGCGCTGCTTCCTGCGGCGTGACCATTGGCGTGTCGGGGTGGTAGCCGTGGAGAGGGTGCGGTCGTCGTTGGGGACGTCCTCGTCGGACTCGCTGCTGCTGCTGCTGCTTTTGCTTTCTGTGCCGTGTTGCACGCGCTGGGCGGTCGCAAAGCGGGCATCGACACCGCCCGCGCCGTCGGGGAACGCGGCAGTGAGCCGGACAGCACCTCCACCACCGCGATACCGCCATCCGCCGGCTGCGACGGCGTGCGGCTGCGGCGATGGAGGGGCGGTGCACCGGCCACCGACACCCCGCGGTGCACCACGATAACTGCGTTGTTTGGCAGCGTCTCGGTGGTGCTCTCGTCGAGCGGCATGCCTTCCAGCAGCAGCGTCGGTGGCGGCTCCGTCGCTGCGGCAGCGGCAGCGGCAGCGGTGCTGGAGGACGCAAGAAGGATTTGGCGCACCGTGCGTTGAAGAGACGCGTGGGTGACGGAGGTGAGGGGGTGAAAAGGTCCTTGTAAGGTCACGGTGAGGTGGAAGCGCTCGCCACTCATGGCGTTGACCACGTAGACGTCACCCTCGCACGCGGCACGCCTGTCAGACGCACTGGACGGCAGCTTTGAGGGGTCCGGAGAGGGAGAGGGGCGCACGCTGTACGGTGTGTACTCGCCATCCCGCTCTATAGAGCGATGCGACGCCATGAGCGCTACGTGAACTTCACGATGCGATGAAGGGCTAAGGAGAGAAGAGCGGAAGAGAAACAAGCTGGTGGTCCTCAAAAGAACAAGAGGAGGAAGACAATCAACGCTGTTCAGCGAGCAGAGAAACGAAAAAAAGAGACAACAAACAAAGAAAATAGAACTCTAATTCTACCAAGTGACAGAACACCTGAATCTAAAGGAAAAGCGGAATGTGTAGGGCGGTGTACTTCAATGCACCACTCACTGAAGATACGTATAGGGACGATGGAAATGCGGCGGTCGATAAAATGCTTTGTGCCGACGTTGGCGTAAATATATGTAATATAAAGAAAGAAAGGAGGAGGAGGCAGTCAAGGAGCTCTGTGGTCGACTACTGGCTTGTGTTGTCTCCACCACTCTGTTCTTTCCTCTTTTATATCAGCAACGTAAGAGATAGAGAGAGGACAACGAGCGAGAATACGCAGCAAACGTGCAAGAAGAATCGTTAGAGTCTCGCCGTATACAGCGGTAGAGAGTCTCGAGGGATACAGCACAAAGCGTGGCAAAGAAATATATATACAGTCACTTCTATCTTCATTGAGGCCCATGAAGACATACACACACGCCATGCAAGGCGAAGGCATAATCCCAATTCCAGCATCCATCTATTAATACTACTATTATTCTCAAACTCGCCTGCATTGCAAGTTCTTTTGTTCCCCAGCTGTCCAACATATACGCGGCGAGCGCATGGAGGCCGTACGGATGCTGTTAGTTTGAATTTCGCTTTTTGAGTTTCAAAAAAGGCTCTTTGAAAGGGGAATAACCTGCCCTTCACAATCTATAACAATAATAATAATCGTCGAATGAAGGTGGACAAAGAAGTACACTTCAACCTGCTTGGTTGTTGCGACGTGTGGCCGCCACCCCGTCACTCGTGTTTCTCGTTTGTTTGCCGTTGCTACAACGTTAAACGGAAGGAAAGAAACCCAAAAAAGGGGGGGCGATCTAATTCTCCGTTTTCACGCAGAGATTGAAGAAGAAAAAAAAAGACGGCGAGCTAAGAAGAATGAGTTTCCTGCTTGGGTGGGGGGACTTTGAGCGAGGAAGGCGACGAAGATGCACACGGCGACTCGGTCGGGCGGTCCCCTTTTTTCCATTTCTTAATCCCTCTCTCTTTCTCTGGCGAAGACCTCGCGCCGCAATCCTCTATCTATGATTAAGAGGTATACATCGTTTCCACGCTTACACATCAACGCTTCGTCGCACAGCTATTACATTCTTTTTCTTTCCTATTCGACAAGCGTGCGGCAGGTGTGAGAGCAAGTGTGGGTGTGTGTGTGTGTGTGAGTAAGTAAAAGGAGCGCAGACACTGAAAAGAAAAACAAGAAACCAAAAAAGATTGGGGCGAGACGAGTAAGGACGGAGTGTTGGATCGATGGCGATCCCGACAGTACAGAAGAATCCACTACGAAAGAAAACATGCTTAAAAACGAAACAAGCAACAAAGGAAAGAGAAAGAAAGAGTTGCGTCACCCACCACGCTCACCTTGCGCACCTCCTCCTCCTCTCCGCAGCAAAGAAGCAGGCACGCACACACACTCGAGAAAAAGAAAAACACGTCATTGTGGACTCGGCCGCGGCCAACATCAACAACCGTTGCTCAGCGCAGCAATGAAGAATGGAAAGAACAAATCACAAAGAAGGAAGGCAGCACTGATAAGGAAGGCACCGGAAAAGGGATCGTACGGGAATGTGAAGCCATCCGCCCCAGCAGCAACGTGCGTGTGCGAAAAAACGCAAATACGATCGCACCGCGCTGCTGCCTCTGGAATCTGCATCGGCTGAGTCGCTTGCACGAGAGAGAACAAGAAGAAGGCACATCTGCGCAGCTAAAGGCGCCCACAGTGCTTCTCTCCTACAGCAAGGGATTATATATATTTATTGAAAGCAAATACATACATCAACAGGTCCGCCCACCACACCAAGACCAATACAAACTAAAAGACTCGCCGCAGCAAAGGAGAGGGCAGCGCTCCTCGGAAAGTTAAAAAAAAAACCCATCAAACATGAAAAGCACGGAAATGAAGTGAGAAACAAAGAAAGCAGTAAACTGAAAACAGAAGAGAATGTATATATAAGTGGGAGGGAGGCGGTACCGCCTCTTTTTTATACGGACGCCTCGGCCGCAAACGCCGGCCCGTCCACCGCCGTCCCCTCCGCCGTCGGCGTCTCCACGCGGGACATCCAAATACGGCAGTGGAAACGCGAGAACAGCGACGGCAGCAGCGGACGGAAATCGACGCGGGTGCCGCTCTCGTAGTAGAACGTCAGCTTCGTCTTGTTGAATTGGTAGACGGCGCCAACCACCTTCACGGGAAGCCCAAGACGCGCGGCTGCATCGCGGCACGGCTCCAGCGTCGTCTCGGCTTCCTTCACGTCGGCGTAGAGCCAGCGGTATTCCTCCTCGGCCGTCGCAGGACGCAGCACCGGGGCCGGCCGGTCCTTGCGGCTGAGCGGCGAGGTGGCGGAAGCCAACGCGGGCAGCGCACCGACCGCATTGCTGTCCTCCAACCTGTCGCACTGCACGACACGGCCCATATCGATACCGCGGTCCTCCTCAAAGAGGACGCACACGCCGGCCTTCAGCGGGGTAGGCGAGACGGCCGTCACGCGACGGCCCATGTGACCATCGATCACCACGGCGTACTGCGTGGGCTGCGTAGGCGCAGAGGGGTTCGTGAGCAAAGGGCCCGTCGCCACGTGCGTAGCCCCGTGCGGCCCCGCCGCGTTGGACACCATGCTGCTGTTGTTCACGGGGGTGGAAGAGTTCGTGGTGCCTGTCTGACGTCCACCACGACGCTGCGAGCGCGGCACCGGCATCGCGTTCGGGTTCGCGTGCACAGCAGCAGCAAACGAAGACGACGCAGACGAAGGCGGCTGCGACGCGGCACCTTCAGCAGCCGCGTCGTGGCTTTGGCGAGTCGTCATCGTCGTCGTTTTGGAGGGGGCGATGGCCTCGAGGCAGCTAGCGAGGGATCGCTGGGCGCTCTTGGCTTGTGGCGCGGATGGCACTTCCTCGTCGTGCGTGGTGGCGTCTACTGCACGGGTGCTGTGGTGGTGGTGGCTGTTGGTGGTGGTGCTGCGTGAATCTGCTGCTGTCGCTGCCACGGTGGCGGTGGTGGTGGTGGTGGCATTCGGGGAGTGGATGATCGTGGTCACGGTGCGGCACATTGACTTCTTCGACGCGCTCGGCCGCGCCGATGGCACCCGCTCAATCTCCGGCGTTTTGAAGGACGCCGGCGTCGACTCATTCTTCGCGTGGGGGTTGGCGGAGGACTTCAGTGGTGTAGTCATCTTCACCATCTTGGTTGTCGCCGCCGCTGCTGTAGTAGGAGCCGTAGCGCTAGTGGCCGCTTTGCTGTTATTTGTCTGGATCTGCGCCATTAACGCCATCATCGCACACTGCAGGTTTGTGTTCGAGGTGGCGCCGTGCTGCGGCTGCTGCTGGGCACGGCTGCTGCGCGTCGACTCACTCAGCGATGACTCTGAGAAGATGATGGCGTTGTCTTCCTCGGTCAACAAGCGGCGGTTTGGCCGGGGAGGGGCCGTCGTGGTGCTCTCGGTAGCCGCGGCGGCTACAAACGGCGAGCCCTCCACGGCGAGCACCTTGGCCGGCGTGCTTGTCGGAGTAACGGCATCGCTCTCCACGCTCCTCTCGTCTTCGTCATCGCCTCCCACGCCTGCACGGTGGTCATCACCGTCGCCGTAGCGTTGATGCGCACCGCGATGCACGGAGCCTGTGAGTCCCATCTTGGACGCGGTGCTGCGACCGCCCTCCGTGCGCTCGTCCGTGTTCGCAAGACAGGCGTAGCGACGCTCAACCGTGTTCGCTGCACTGTCTGCCGCGGCGGTGAGCACCCTCAACCCAGTGCCGCCGTTGATCTTTCCATCCACTGCTGCGGTGTGCACCGCGGGGTTGGTAGTGGTAGTGGTGGTAATGGGGGCTGCCCGGTGGGGCCTGCGCTGTGGTGTTTCCTGGCTGTACATCTCCTCCACCATGCGGTAAGCGGCTGTGTTCGCCGGGGCCGCCGAAACGGCGGTGGATGTGGCTGTGGCGGCTGCGGTGGTGTTGGTGGCTAGTACGTTTACGGTGCGGTGCAGCGGCGAGGGCGTCGGCCGTGCGATGGCCACAACCGGCCCCCGCTCTTCCTCCTCCTCCCTGCTCCTCTCGGGTACTTCTTGCATGGTGACTGGCGCAGCGGTGTGCATCGACGCCTGTTGCAACGACTGCGTTCGCTCACTCCAGCGCGACGCCGCCGGCAGCGAAAGCTGCGCGGTGGGTGCGTCGTGACTGGCGAGGACGGCGACCATCGTCGCACACATACGACGTGGTGGTGGTGCAACCTGGAGACGCTGCTGCTGCTGATGCGAGAATTGCTGCGGCGGGAGCGGCACAGCGTCGATGATCTCCTGCGCCATGGCCGCCACCTCGCCCTGAATCCCCGTCTCCGCGCCCTCCTCCTCCACCTCCTCCTCTGCCAGTTCATCGACGTAGTCGTCGAGCAGGGCAAAGGGTGTCATGGACGTAGCGCCGGTCGTGATGTCGATGAACTGAGGGTGGAAGACGGAGACCGAGGGGCCGTAGATGGCGTTGCCCGCCGCAGCCGGCGTGTTGGTGGCCGTCTCGCGTGTCGAGGAACGCTGCAATGGTGCAGGTGGTTGTGATGCCCGCTGCTGCTGCGGCGGCGGCGGCGCCGGCTGATGCGGCACAAGCTGCGGCGTAAGCACAGAGGAGGATGCCCCGCCTTCTGTGGCGCTGAAGGAGAGCATCCCCGTCGCATTCTGCAACGGCACCGACGAAGGCTGCATCAGCTGCGAGGTCAGCGAAGCGGATTGGGAGTCGCAGTTGGAGGCGGCTTTGGCGGCGGCCGCACGTGCGTACGCTTCACGCAGCTGCATCGCCGCGCTGGACGCGACCACGCCAGAATTTCCGGAGGCGTGCGGGAGGAGCACCGAGCTCGTCTGCTCGCTGATTGGGGGCGTTGGAGGGGACGTGATGGTGGGCCGCGGGTTGGCCATGGAAACCGCGAGCATCAACGGTGAGGAGACGGAGCTGACGACGCCGGTGCTGCCGATGTACGCCAACGGCGACGTCGCCGATGAGAACGATAGCGCGTTGCTCACCTCCCCGCCTTGTTGGTACTGTTTGGGGACGAAAGCGGGGGAAAACGCGCTGAGTGCGCGCGACGAGGTGGAGGCGGCGGTGTCGTGTCGACGCAGCTTCTCCTCGTCCGCCAATTGAAGGCCGGCGGCGGTGCGAGCGCCGTGGGTGCTGCGCACAGGGCGCGTCCCTGCGGTGACATTGGTGTTGGTGGTGGTGCCTGCGACTGCTCCGGCAACGGCGGAGCTCTGCCCATCGGTGTTGCTGCCTTTTGCGGCCTCGCCGCGTCGCGCGGAGGGGCGGCGCCCACTGACGTAGCGCTGCGTGTGATAGGTGCTGCCGTCTGCACTGCCGCCGTTAGCTTTGTTGGCTTTAGAGGACATGTTATTGTTCTTTCGTAGTTGTTGCTGAAGACGGAGAAGAGCTGCGTTTGTTTTGTTCTTCAAACGCACGTCAACAAGAGTCACCGATCAACAAAAAGAAAAGAGAAAATTGAAGACGTAAGAGTTCTATGGGTGAGCGTGCCGGTATTTCTATGCAGTTTTGAGGCGGATCTGTGCGAAGCCGTGGAAGAGAGTCAAGAAAGAAAAAAGGTCAAAACCCCTGTTTGGTTCCCACAGGCGTGAATCGACAAGCGAGAAGGCAGCGGTCGAGACGAATAAGGCCTTCAAGAAGAGAGAAAACCAGAAAGGATAGGGTGATCTGTGCGGAGGGGGAGGGGGGAATTGCCTTCCGTTGTTCTGGGGGTGCGTTTGTCTATCAGGAATATATGTATGTGTGTATGAGTATCTATGCGTAAGGTGCGAGGTTGTGAGTGTGTGTGTGTGTGTGTGCACGCAAGTAGTAAGGGGTGCTAAGTGTGTATATACCAAGGTGCAGATACGAAGGAACGTACACGCGGGTACGTGAACTTCAGTGCAGGCCAGAGAGCCGGAAAAAAATATATAAGAATACAAACAATAATACTATTTAATAGCAATAACAAACAACAACAGCGATTGCCTCTTGAGACCAAAGGCCGATTCATCGGGGAGCGCGAAAGAGGGTGGAGAATAGGGGAGGAAGACGGAAGAGCCAGCGAGAAGGGTAGAGAGAGCGACGTGCAGGTGACCAGCAAATCTCAGCGAAGCGGTGATGAACTCTCGTCGCTCGACGAGCGGAAAACAAAGCCAAACGCGGCGATTTCACGAGATAATAATAATAATAAATGCATGCCCACACGCGCAGGAGAGATATGCACTGCCGCTACGGCGGCCACACGTCAGTCACACTTGACAGGCTCCCTCCTCACGCTTCTCTGACTTGTTGTCCGCGCAGCAGCGCTCCACAACAGAAAAAACAGGAGGTGAGCAATAACCCTCGTTCGATGTTCATCCGCTTCCAACTAGCTACCATGAATAAAGCTCTTCTTTTCTCTTAACGTGGTGATGTTAAACGATCAGCGCAGTCTTTTAAATGACGTTGGGGGAAACAGTCAAATTTCAAGTTTAAAGAAATATGTAGGCAGGCGCAAGCGACGCGCACCTCAACGACGGCTTCAGTGCACTTTCCTCTCTTACGCAGAGTATCTTCGCATCCGACTGGATCAAAAAAAAAAATCTCTCGCCTCATCCCTCCCCACAGCCACGAAAACGGGTCGATGGAAAGACGAGAGGAAATCATAAAACTGCTGCCCCCGTCAGAGCCAACTTGCACCTCAGAAACCCGGGCGGCTTTTACCCTTTCGCCGCGTACCCGCCCCCCCCCCCCTCCCAACCTTTCCTTGCGTTACACGTGATTCATTCGCTTGTGTGCGTTTAGATTAATTAAACAGAAACCACTAAAAAAGACAGCAACACACGGCTATTAAATGCCCTCCCATCCTCACACCGCTGCCTACTCCTCATTATCTGCCGCCTCGATCCGCTTGCGCTTCATGGCGGGGCTGCTCGAGTCCTTCGCGTCCTTCTTCGCCGCCACGGCGCGCGTGTCCGCAAACTCGAGGGGGCGATGCAGCACCGCCAGCACCGACGGCGCCAGCGTGTCCACCGAAGCTGTCGACTGCATCGCAGGCGGCACACACACCGCCGTCGTGGGCGGCGCACCGCACAGCACCGTCACCCGCTTCGCGGTCACCGCCACTGTGGCGCTGAAGCGAGCCGTCACGTAGCCGGGCTTCGTCCGCAGGGGGCTGAGCTTGTCGATCACGCCCTTCTTCTGAAGCACGTGAATGCCCAGCTTCGCCTTGAGCGGGTTCTCGAGACTCTTGAAGTGAAAGGGGAAGCAGAAGTGTGTGTTGGTGATCTCCTGCAGCACCTCGTTTGCCTGGCTCACGCGGGCGTCCATCGCGAACTCCGCCGGCGTGCGGCGGTAGAGCGTCACCGGCTTCTCGGACAGGGTGATGCGGTAGCTGTCGTTGTTTGTGAAGGCCACGTCGAGGCACCAGACCTGATGCTCATCGACCTCGCACTCGCCGACGTCCTGGTGCGGGTCCTCCGTTGTGACGCGGCGGCCGATAATGCAGTCCATCCCATCAGGCACCCAGCGCTTCGTGCGGTTCGACAAGACACCCTCGACGGCCTGCACACCAAAGTGGTTGCCCACGGCGGCGACGAGGTCGGTGATGTCTGCGTTGAGAACGCCAGGGCGGAGGGCGTGCATCATCGTGAGCAGTGCCACACGTGCTGCCTCGATAGCGTTGCCGGCCGCTACACGTGAAGAAGAGGAAGAAGAAGACTTCTGCATGGAAGCAGAAGACGGCGCTGTCGCCTCCTCATTCCCTTCCACTTCAGCAGCAGTAGCAGTAGCGGCAGCATCGGGGCTTGCGGGAGATCCCGGTGCGCGCACGACGATCGTGCGGGCCGCGCTGACGGGGTAGCCGTCCAGGTGGCACCCAACGTGCAGCTTCACCACATCGCCCTCCTTCAAGATCGTGCCCTCCTCATCACGGAAGGGGCTGTCGTTGCAGAGTACTTCGTTGACGGAGATGTTCGTCGGGTAGGCGATACCGCGTGTTAACCGCTTGCCCTCTGCGTCCTTCGTCTTGGTATAAAGCCCTTTCAGGCGCTGCATGACTTCCTCGTCGCTGCAGTCGCACAGCACCTTCGTATTCACACCCGCCACGCACTCCTCTGTCAGTATGTCCAGCACGGCGTCCACTACGCGGCCACATTCCTTGTACTTGGTCATGGTGTTGGTGTTCATGACGGTCTCGTCCTCGTCCTCGCTGACATCCATGGCATCCTCGTACACCTTCTCCAAATCTTCGAGATTCTTGCGGAACTGCGCTGACGGGGTGCGGCGAACCCCCGAGTTGGATTTGGTGGTGGTGGTAGTGGCGGTGGAGCTGCGTGCACGCCCATCCGTCGACTTCGACGCCACGTTGTTCGCCGCCGCTTTATGAGCGCTCTTACTAGTACTGCTGCTGCTGTCTTGCGCTGCCGAGGACGGCGCGCGGCGAAGACGCGCCACCTTCAGTACTTTGCGCTGGTCCTGCGCCGCTGCAGTGGCAGTGGAACTCGTCTCTTCCTTGTTGTCGCTGCCAGTGGCCTTGGCGGCATCACGGGCGTCCAAGCTTTTCTTCAGCGCGTGCAGGGACATGGAGCGCGACCGCTTCATGCGCAGCGTAGGTCGCCCGCTCTTGCTGCGGCTCGCACTATATCCACGGCCCATTGCTTCCGGCTCGACAGAAAGGCTATTTTTTTTTTTTAGTTAGTAGTACTGTTGCTTGTTGTTGTGTGCACGTAAGTGTGTGTGTGTGTGTATTCTTGCCTTTAAGAAAACGTATGAGAGCTGTGCACGGGAGCGCAGACGGCAGCCGGGGAGCTGAGAGATAACGCCGTGTTCTTCTTGCCGAGACTGCGGAGACGGTGAACACGAATCGGATGAGAAAGAGCGTGGGAATGAGTGGGAGAGGATCGCCTTGGCGATGCACGGCGGCAGACTAGAAAACCCAACCCAAAGAATCGTCGTTCCGTAATGCAAAAAAAAAAAGGGTGGATTCGCAACGGGGGAAGCGAACACACAGGTAACACGCCGTTGCTTCGCTCTCCGGGGAAAAGAAGAACAGAACATGATAAGAGAAACAAGGGGCATTGCGAGTCTGTGGTGTCGACAGCGAACAGCATCGTGTTCAACGAAGCACCGATGCGGCACCTGGAATTCGCAAAGAAAATGACGCCTTTTTAATGTAAGGCCCCCCCCCCCGCAGCAGCAGCAGTCCATGCCGCCACGGAAAGAGTTCCATCCTGCGTTGTACGTCCAGCCTTCATTTCCGTTTTCGTCACTGTTTTGATTTTTGTTTTTAGCTTTAAACATGCTGTGCTGACACGTTGCAACAACCGCTGCTGTTTCCTCCCTGTTCAGCGCTGGCAGCACCACACCTGCCCGAGCATTGGCCACCTCGGAGAGAAATGCTTCGTACGAACATCGAAGAAAAACAAGAAGAAGAAGCGACTAAAGCCGCAGCAATACCAAAAACTCACACACGGAAGGCGGCACCTCTAACTTCGCGTCCAACTACCGCGCTACATCACCAGCAAAAAAGCGAAAACCAAGAAAAGCACGATGCTTCAGCTGAACCTCCCGTGATCGTCACCCCACAAAGAAAGGGGAGTTTGGAAGAACGAATTTGCGGAGTTCACCAGATCACGACTCCACCGCGGCGAGGTCGCAGGAAACGGCGATGGAGCGGTGCAAGTGACAGACGTCCCTGTGCTTTTCGAATACGTGAAGAAGCCCACTTCACTCACAAGAGAGAAAAAAGAAAGCTCGTCGTGCGGCGAGCGGGGATGCCGAGAAGAATAATAACGAGAATACGGACACTCTTTTTGTTTACCCTCGTTGATCGAGCGCGTCGCTTACCTCCGCCTCTCACTCCCCTTCTCCTCCGACGGCGCGAACAGCATTTTTTCGTTTGTGAATTTCGATTTAGTCCTCGTACTCTACCGTGTTGCGTCGCGGTGTACGTGCGCGGCGGACGCGGCGGCGACGCGGCTGATCCACATCCTCGTCTTCGTACTCCTCATCGTACTCGTCGTCCGCCGCGGTGCGCTCCGGTCGGCGCTGATCACCACGCTTCAGCTCAGCGAGTTTGCGCTCCAGCTCCGCAATGCGCTGACGATCTGCCTCGGCAGGATCGAGAGGCGGCTGTTGCTGCTGCTGCTGCTGCTCTTGTTGCTGCTGCTGCTGCTGCTGAGCATCGATGTCCTGCTGCTGTTGCTGCTGACGTTGCTGCTCGGCTGCTAAACGATCACGCTCGAGTTCAGCCGCGCGGCGCTCCACCTCGGCACGAATTTGCGCCTCGATGTCGCGTTTCTGCTGATCTTCCTGTTGCTGATCCTGCTGCTGCTGCTGTGGCGCGAGAGTCGTGGACTCGGGGACGCGGCGGTTGTTCATGGCGTCGTTGTCGTACAGCCCTGGACCGCCATTCGCCGCACCGCCGTTGTGGGGCTGCTGGACGTCGTGGTCGTACACCACGTTGTCCAACGGGGACAGGTGCACAAAAATGATGTCGTGCACCTCCGACACGTCGCCGGTCTGCCCGGAAAAGGCCAGGTACGACTTCCCCGCCGGCATCTCAAGATTACTCACGGTGAAACAGTGCTGCTCATCGACCTCGCTGTTGCGCGAAAGATGCAGCGACAGGGTGCCCTTGTTGTACCGCAGGCGCGCCGTCGCCATGTTCGGTGCCATGATGTTGCGGAAGTCAAAAACGCAGTTTGCGAGGGTCTCACCCATGAAGTCCGTAGCGGGGGTGAACCTCCTCGTCGCGCTGCCGTCGTTCGTCACGAGACTCACCATCGGGTTGTCGCGGCGGTTGTCGTTGTCGTACGAATCAAAGAGAAGGCCAAAACCATTAAAGTTCGCCGCTCGCCCAAAAATGTTGCCGTTAAACCGCGGGATCTGCGCCACCCACAGCGCGAAGCCGTCGGCGCCAAGCCCGCCAATCACCCGCGACACACGGAAGCCGAAGACGATCTCGAAGGCGTCCATGTCGAGTGGATCGGTGTTCCACAGGTGCCCTGTCTGACTCTGCAGGTCGCCGGTGAGGCGTACGTAGTTGTCCGTCACGACCGTGGTGCCCGACATCATCCAGTGCGGGATCTCGCCGTCGCCGTAGTATCGCCGGAGCAGCGGAGGGGAGAAGGAGTGGTGGTTAATGACGGTCGTCACAGCGCGCTTCTGCTGAGGTGGCGTGCGACCCGGCACGATGTCCACGACTGCCAGCGCCACCAACCCGCACGCGCTCAGTGCAAGCACGAGGGCGAAGAGGGCTGCCGTCCAGAAGCCGCGTCGGCCTCCGCGCAGCGCAGCCGAAAGAAAAGCCGGCATGACTTGCTGCTTCTTTCTGCCGATGGTGTTTTACTTTTTCTGAGCAACTTTCGCTGATGGATTTTTGAAGAAAGCAGACGGAGGGAAAAGGGATAAGTTGCGTGGTATTCGCCTATCCTCCGCGTTGTCGCTGCTGCTGCTGCTGCTGCTGCTGCTGCTGCTGTTTCACTCGTTGCTGTAAACGGTGCGAGAAGAAGTATCACGTCGCAGCTCGAAAAGGAACAATATCAATGAACCAGAAAGCGAAGAAAAACGAACGGCTCTTTGTTTTTGCTAGAAGAAATATATATAGATATAGATATATATGTAACGAGAGAGGGAGGGAGAGAGATCAGGATTCTCTGTTCTGTCGAACTACAGAAAGGGAAGAAAAAGAGGCGAGGAAGAGGCGAATTGCGAATGGATGCCGCTGCGCGGAAGAGTGTGTACGGGTGCGTGTGGGTGCGCGCATGAGTGCCGGGAGCGGCCAAACAAAGCGGAAGGCATACCAAAAACAGAGAGAAGAAAAGGAATGAACAAGAAAAGTGGAAGCGGACAGGCGTACACGGCCACTTACCAAACAGTCTCAGATGCGATCGTTCGCCTCCCATAGATCTCAGCGCAGCGCACACGTACACTTCGTCACTTGACGCTGCCGTTCGAACGGAAGGAAGGAAAAAATCAAACGACAGGAGTCGTCGAAAGACAAGCGCTAATATATATATATATATATATATATATATATTAGGAAACGCCTCCTTGTCAACAAACGGAGACGTGGCGTCTCGGCCAACGGTGCAACGTATCTTTGTTGACTTCTTGTGTTGCCGTTGTTCAAGTATGCATCTTCTACCAACACAGCGGGGTTACCGCGGACAGCGCATGTCCCTTTGCCGCTGCATTGCATTCCACGTTCGCCGTCAACACGTCTTGTTGATCATGTTGTTTTCATCCTCCCATCTCTTTGCACCCGCACCGGCACCCACCTACACCGAGAGAGAAAGCGTCGTCTGCTCTATTTGCGGTGTAGTGCCGGACGTGGCGTGCCAATCGAGTACACCACCTTTTGGGGGGACTTGATCACCGGTTGCGACCTCTTCTACGTCTAGTCGCTACGGGAGGCACGATCATCGTTGCCATCCCCCCTCCTCCTTCCACGTTCCACCACCACCGCCCCTCCGGTTTCGATAGATTTGCGCACGTCAAAGAACAGAAAGCACGACAAGCGAAGGAGGAGGCCAACAACACGCTGAAAACGGCCAAGAGGGAGAAAAAACAGAATATAAAAAGAAAAAGAAATCCCCTAAAAATGGTACATTGAGAAGTTGCCGACGCGAGAGAGACAACACAGCACGATAATGAAACATTTAAGAAAGAAAACGGAGGGGAAGAACAAAGAACGGCTACACCTATTCCAGAAAAACAACGCGTACGAAGGAGACCCTCTAATAACCACGCAGGCTGACACACGCACACACACATAGACGTAGACATATTCACATGTGCGCACGTATCCTCAACCGCAAACGCACCTGCACTGACGCAGAGGTCAACAGGATGGCCTCAAACGACAAGTCGAGCCTGCCTTCGCGTGTGTGTGTGTGTGTGCCGTATGGACAGGGTGAGTAAATTGCCCACTGAGGAAGGAAAAGAGAAATAATACACACCACCGCTGTTGCACAGTCGCGGCTTGACGCAGGGGCGGGAAAACCAAGAGAAACACCTCTACACCTTTCTGTTTGCCGCTAGCTGCACCCGATACGCCGCAATCTGCTGCTGCAGGCCTTCGTCAACCTCGACGGCTTCATCAATCGCCTCACCCGAGATTGGGTCCACGTGGCCCACCTGATCAATCACGTTCTGCAACGCATCGCACTCGAACCGGTGGCCGTTTTTGAGCACCACGGGTTCACGCATCAGCTTGCCCGTCAAGTCGCACACGAACTCCGCTGGGTGGTTCGCGCCCTTCTTTCGCTTCGGCTTTGACTTCCTCGACGGTGTGGTCGTCGCAGGCGTCTCTCGCCCGTTCGTGGCGCTGCCGCCGCTCGCGCCCTGCCGTGTCAGCCGCTCCAATCCGGTGTCCGGCATCCCATTCAGCAGCTCCGTCAGCGTCATGAGCAGCAAGAAGTTCTGCAGCGTCTCGAGCTGGGACTCAAGGGCCACCAACTCCGCCACGCGCTCCTCTGTCTCCTGCAGCACGGCCTCCTCGGCTGAAAAGAAGCGGTGGAGCAGCTGCACAGACGCGTTGCCAGTGTCGAGGGTGCCGGCCTCACAGAAGGGCGACTCCTCCTCGCGCAGACACAGGATAAACCACTCCGCGACGGTCATCATCGTTCGCGTGCTCGGCGCGCTCGCCGACGCGGCCACCTGACCCTCCGCGGCTCCCGTCCCGTCATGATATGAGTTCGACAGCGAGCAGTACGTCTTGTCCGCTGATATCGTCGCCAGCAACGACTGGTACACGTCGGCCAGGTTCACCGGCGTCGTGATCGCCGTCGCGTTCATGTTCGCCAAACACTCCACCGTGAGCAGCATCAGTTGCATGCCGGCGTACTGCGTGCGCAGCCGCGGCTCCTCACGCTGGATCTGCTGCGTCAGCCGCTCCATGGACGTCAAAAAGGCGGGGGTAAAGCCGACGGTGGGCTTGTACAGCGTAAAGCGCACGAACCGCAGCAGCCCCACCCCCGCCATCAGCAAACTGTGCTTCACGGACGCCGAGGAGGCGAAGGCGTCGCTGCGGGTCTGCAGGGCGGCGACGTCGATCGACCAGGTCTGGATCGCCGCGGTCACCGCCGGGACCAGCGCCGCGGCGAGGAAGTCATGGCTGCCGGGGTCGCTCAGCAGCCGCGTCCGCAGCTCGTTCGCCACCTTCGGATCGCGGCTGAACTCGACCATGTTGTGCACCGCACGGCACACCAGCTTCAGCGCCGACAGCCAATTGAGCAGCTCCATTTGCTGCTCCTTCGTCACCGTCGTGACGGTGTGGGCGACGTCCGGCCTGCCCAGCGCACCGAGGGCCATCGACTCTGCGCAGCCCTGCGCCAGTGCGGCGGGACTGCGATTATGCGTCGAATCGTGCCAGGAGAGGCGCAGGGAGGCGAAGAGCTGCTCCAGCACCCGCTGATCCCGCAGCGTGGCGAGCAGAACGGCGATCTTGTCCTGGAAGCTCTCCACCGTAAAGGTGAGGATTTGACTGCCGCGCCGTCCCTGCGGCGGCGCCTCCGCCCCGTCCTCGGCGGTGTAGTACGTGGACGAGACGGTGAGGCCGTAAAGCGTCTGCAGGGCGGCCAGCAGCAGCGGCCACTCGCACCTATCGCGGTGCTGCACGACAACGCGCAGCAGCGTCTGTACCATGGTGCCGACGTCGCCGTCCGACGTGTGCTGCAGCAGCAGGCGGCACACCGATGTGTTGTAGTCAGAGAAGCGGAAGACGAGAACGGTGAACATCTCCCACGCAGAGGCCAGCGCCTCCGTCGCAGCGGCGTTCGGGCCGGTGCGGGACAACATCTCCTCCACGCTCTTATCCATATCGTTCACCGTGTTGCACAGCAGACCCGTGCGGAAGGACGAAATAGAAGGCTGGGATAGACGGTAGAGGCACTCCAGACACGCCAGACGCAGCGCGAAGTTCTTTGTTCTGTTGTTCAAGATCGACATAGTTTTCTTGAGCACGGCGTTGAGCGCCTTGGAATGCTCCGGCCTCTGGATGAGGTCCGAAGCAACCGCGACGTCCTCCAACGCCGAGGCGACGCTCGATACGGCGGTCAGGCCGATGGCGTCGATGGGCTGCTCCACAAGGGCTTTGATGGCGGGATGGAGAGACATGGCGAAGGAAACAGGCAATACGATCTACGTGAGCGGGAAGAAGCAAAGAGAGGATGAACAGCAACAACAGCACAATAACAAAAAGAAAGAAGATGTTCAGCAGCTGTCGCGTAATTCTCCGAAGGTGCGGCACCTGCTTTCCTCCTTCTTCTATTAATGCTTCGGGTTTGTTTGTTTGTTTGTTTGTTTTGAAAAGTACGCCTGTGGTAAACCTCCCTATTGTGTAGAAAGGAGGAGTAGGGGCGACTGCTGCAGCGTATCAGCAGCTGCAAAAAGGAGAAACAGGCGATATAAATAATAATACTAAGAAACGTGCTTTGTTGTTGTTGTTTGGCAAACCCCGTCACGCAGAAGCCGCAGAGCCCATAAAGCGCACAAGAGAGGAGTACAGACGAGTTCCTCTTCGGGGGGCGGTGTTGGTGTCGGTGCTGATCGAGCGGTGAAAGGAAGCATGCAAAGAAGAGGCAAGGAGAGAAGCAACACGAGAAGTGCGAGGAGCAAACGCGCGTCGACCACCGCAGTAAAAAAGAACAAGGAGAGGTATTTATCTTTTCCTTTTCTGATGAGAAGCACTGAAGATGCGAAGCACGCCGCTTGATACACTTCGGCAGACATGAAGGAGCGCGTCTGCGAACAGCGCGCGATGTGCAAGTCCATCTTCTTCATGCGATTCCCTCACACCCGCAAAACGCCGGTCCGGCGAGGCAGTGCGTTACGGTAACCTGTGAGCGCCACGCTTGAAGCGTCAAACACTACCACTTTGGTGCGTACTGGTAAATGTGATGAACTCCGTTCCAGACCGTGTGTGTGTGTATCTATCCCAGCAAGTTTATTTCTGGTTTAGTTGTTGTTTCCTGTTGTTGAATATCTGTGTCTGTGTGCGTGTGTGTGTGACGGCCTTCCTGTACTCTTCGTTGTCAGAGCTCCGTTGCCTGCCATCTCTGCTGGTAGCGACAATTACAGCAGAGAGAGCGAGTCGCCATCAGTCGAGCAGATCCGTGTGAGCGAAGATCGCTGAATACCATACACAGCAAAAGAACCACCAATAAAAAAAAAATTATATATCCTCGGCAAAGCGCAAAAAGAAAATCGATATATACGATAAAGCCGTGTCGTGCAGACACACACACACACACACACGAGACATGAGTACGACCACTCCAATAATCGAAACGCAGCAACACACAGAAGAGACGAGATCACGATTCAAGGAGGCCTCGAGAATGGCTCTCCTGCTGAATGCAGGAGGTCGCTGAGAGAACTCCATCGATCAACACAGTCGTAGAAAGCAAGGCAGAGGGACCTACAAAGAACAGCAAATAAATAAAAACACACACGGAAAGTTCGGATGGCCACGCAGCACGAGGCGGAATCGTTGTGGAACGGCAACAAACACAGATAGAAGAAATACAAATAAAAGAGAAAGAAGGTGAAGAGATAATACGTACCACCACTTCTGGGAGGGGGGAGGGGGTTGCCTTCGCGCCGCCGCCAGGGTAAGGGCAAACCACTGGTACCGCTTTACCCGGCACCCGTCGGCCACCGCGAGAACAGAAGTGCTCTTCGCCGCTTTTGAGGGCCCTGTTGGCCATTTTCAGCATCAAGTGAGCAAAGACCTGCGCCTTTCTCTCTGTGTGTGCGTTTGGCGCCCAGCGCCTCCCCTCCCCCGCCCCCCGCCCAACGGCTAATCTACCTTCTTTCGCGGAGCCGGCGCGGCTTTGGTGGCGGGCAACGCTGGCGAGGTCGCCGACGGGCGCGAGACAGCGGACTCCACCGCGGGCCCCACCGCGGCGACGCGGGTACTCGGCTCCGCGGGAAACACCGCCGGCGGCGGGACCGCCACCTCCACCGGCACCACCGTTACATCGGCGCTCTTTCCACGCGACGGCGTCGCTGCTGGCGCTGTGGCAGCGGGAGGTGGCACGGCTGCTGCTGCTGTTGCGGCCGCAGTACGCACACGGCTAGCGGCCGATGGAACGCGTTCATCCGTCACGCCGCTAATGTGGTTGGCGTCGTTGCTGTGGTGGTCCTCCTCGTGGCCCATCACCTCGTCCTCCTCCGTGAAGACGTCATCTTCGTCCGCCACGCTGCGCAGCCGGATGCGAATCGCCTCTTTCAAGTTCGGCCAGAAGCCTTCCGGATCGGCCATCTCCTGCACGGCAGGTCGCGTCGGCACCGGCCAAAACCACAGCGGCAGCGACAGGCCCTCCCCTACCGTGTCCATCGCCCGCCGCCAGATGAAAGGTTCACGGGTCTGCTCGGGGCTGCTGCGGCCATCGTCGTGCAGGCCGGCCGTCCGCTCCGACATGACCATCTGATAGCGCTCCCCGCTGTTGCGCAGTTGGATGCCCTCGAGCTCTTCACGTTGCTCACGCAGCAGCGCGGTGAGCAGGCCAACGTTGCGACCGGCGGCTAAGAGGTACTGCACTAGTATGCCCACCACGACCACGAGAATCGCGTACGAGTACACAAAGACGAGGTAGTAGATGGAGTTCGATTCCCCCGTCGGTTTGAAGAAGTAGGTGTAGCCCCAGCTAATACAGTAGATGTCCAGGAAGTTGGCCATGAGAAACGCCAACGCTAAGTAAAAGAGGAAGAGAACGTAGTACTTGCTGTTGGCGTAGCCGATGCACTTGCCGCAGCAGACGCAGTGCAGCTTACTGCGGTAGACGCAGCGGCCACACACCGTGCAGTGACGGGTGTCATTCATCTGGTAATAGCTGCAGAAGCGACACCAGTTGGCGCCGGGGATTAGGTAGCCCATCTCCTCCCGCTTTCGATCGAAGTCGCCGCTGTCGACGGCCTCCAGCACCCTCTGGGCCGCCTCGCTCACACGCACCGCCTCCAGACCACGCAGAATCTTGCGCTGGCGTCGCAGCTCCATCATTTCCGGCATGTACGCCGGCAGCTCCCGCACCTCCACCTCGTCATCCGCGCTGTTGTGAATCGCGCCGTCCTCTTGATGTATCCCGTCGCCCTCGTGCGGACGTGGATGACGCGGACGCCGACGGCGCCGCTGGTCGCCGCTGCTGCCTTCCTCCTCGTCCTCCTCCTCCTCCTCCGCCTCGTTGCTAGAAAGGGTGGCGCGCTCCTCGTGCATGCGCAGTTGAACCACGATGGCCCGCTTCGCCAACTCCGCCTCTGCCGCTGTTGGACTGGCGCGCTGTGTCAGAGCTGCGGTGGAGGCGACGTTGGCGAGTTGGTGCTCCTCCTCGTCGTCCACATCCTGCCAGCGCCTCTTCTGCTGTGCCGCGTCCGCTGTGGTGGACGGGGAAGGTGCGTCTGCTGCGGTGTCTTCCGTAGTCGGAACGATTTTTGCGACCGCCTTGTCGGGCTCTGCCCCGCGTGCCGGACGCGCCTTCGCGACGATGCGCTGCAGCTCGTCCCGGATGAAGGTCTCCATCCGCGCTGCGGAGAAGCGGGAGGGCAGATCGCCGGGGCCGATACGCGCGCACAGCACCAGGCATCCCATCGACAGCCCGAGAAAGAAGAGGTAGATGAAGAGGATAAAGAGAGCGAGCACGTCTAGCAAGGCGGAGGTCGCGTAATAGAAGTGCACCGCCGTGAAAAAAAACAGTATCGCGAGGAAGGTGACGATCGCCGCGGTGCGTCCGACGTAGCTCCCCAGGCCGGGGTTGTTTGTGCGCGGCTCGTTGGCGTTCATCCTGACAGGTGGTGAACGCACGGGCACGCGCGCTAAGAATAAGAAGAAGAACGGGAAGTCAACGCGGGGCTTGCCGCGCAGCAAATCTTCCACGTCCCACGCATTCACCAAAAGTGAGTAAGGAGCGGAGGAAGAAAATCAAAGAACAAAGAGATGAAGATGATAAACTGCAGGACACCGCATCGTGAAAGGAACTGCAGGGAGAGGGGCGGGAGGGATAACGTGGAGCGCCACCAACGCGTGCGTGCGTGTGCGTGCGTGCGTCTTTGCGTGTCTTTTACGAAGAGAAGACTTGTGTTTGTTTTTACCACGTTTGGAGAGCGGGGCCCTTCTTGTTCTTTCCACGCTCCACTCACCCACAAAAAGGAAGGTGTGCTTACCCAGATAGACGTTACAGACCGTATTGCTGCGTCGATGCAAGCAATTATTATTAGTATTAGTATTACTCTTCCTACCAATCCGGCGATTCAGCATGCAGCAGGCTGGGAGGAACCCAACTTTTTACTTAATCGATCAAATGCATGTATTAAAACAAAGCAACGGAAAGAGCATTAAACGTTACGAGTTGGTGGGCGAGTGGTGCGGCGGATCAGTGCGCGCCGGACACACGCGAGAAGCGAGAAGCATCGGACAAGCTAAATGAGAAAGGAAGATGCGGTAAAGCCCGGTGCAACGCCGGGGAAGTGTTGGAAGAGGAGGGGGGGACAACAACTGCCCACTTAGTGGAAGAAGGAACACTCCTCTTCTCTTTGGGAGGGGATAAAGAGCAGCGTCAAGGGGTGCGTCCCTTTTGTTGTTGTTTGCTTTAGAGACGCTGCTTCGCTTGGGTGCGCAATTCGTGGTGCGTTTGACGTGCGGTGTGCAGCTCCAGTGTAATGTCTCGGGCCCGCACGATGGCGGTGGCCTGCGTCTGGGAGGCGGGGCTGCGCAGAAGCTGTACAACAGAGCCGGCAGCTGCGCCGCCGTCAACCCGCTCCACCTCCTGCACAAGCGCCGCCCACGCGTTGACGTCGTCCAGCGGGCAGGAGAAGTCTTCGTCGTCGAGCAAATTGTCCTCGTCGAAGTTGTCGAGGTCGTCGTCCGCGCCGCCACCGCCCATCTTCTTTTGCTGCTGCTGCCGCATCGCCTGCGCCTGCCGGACCATCCCCTGCAGTCGCCCATCGCCGCGCAGCCCCGCAGCCCCCGCGCCGCTGTTGCCGCCTGCGAGATCAATCTCCTCCCCCTCGTCTTCCTCATCCTCCTCCTCGAGATCGTCGTCATCGTCACCGTTGTCCAGCCAGTCTTCGTCTTCGTCCTCACTGCCCTCCTCGTCGCTGTCCTCCTCCTCCCACTCATCCTCGTCTTCTCCCTCGACGTCTTCCGTACCGCCACCGCGGCCATCACCGACACTGCGAGCGGCCGCCCCTCCTTCGCCGACCGCACTCCGCACACCGCGGAGCTTCGCGATGCGTCGCAGGTGCACCTGCAACTCGGCCCCGCTGCGCACAAGCTCCGCCTCCGCGAGCTGCTCCAGCACCCCGCACTGCACAACGCCCTCAAGGCTCGTCAGCAGCTCCGCAGCGGCCGCGGCGTCTCCTGCAGCACCTGCGGCGAGGCAGCGCAGACAGCTTACCAACGCGTACACGAAGAGGCTGCGGTCATAGCTGCGCATGAGGCCCAGCATTGCCTCGTCGCTGCCGTCCACCGACACGCTTTGGGCCAGCAGCATCACGTACTGCTCCAAGAACACACGCGTCACCTGCAGACCGTGCAGCACCGCCAAGGTGCTGGGCACGTCAACCACGAAACATGAAAAGACGTTGTTGGCCAGCAGCACGCGAAACGTTGGGCTTAGCTGGGTACGCGTGCCCGCCGTCGTCAACGCCTGCTGTGCGATGTACTGCACAACCGCGACGGGGGAGGGGCTGGTGCCGGCCGCAGAGGCGGAAGCTGCAGCAGCGCTCTGCCTCGCCGCCCACGCGTTGTGCAGCAGGGCATCGTACATCTTCGGCACCGCCGCCACCTCCCGCTCTCGCAACGACGTACTCGCCAGCACGACCTCGCACATGCCAAACACGAGCTGCGCAGGTGTCTTGACGGCGTCCTCGGCCGGCACCACCGACGGCAGCGGCTCGCGCGTCAGCTCGGCCAGGGAGCGGTACAGGAAGGACACCGGCTCGACCGAGACGAAGTTGTCGACCGAGGGCAGGAGCTGCTGGACGTAGTCCACCGCCCCACCGCGCACGACGAGTTGGTGCAGGCACCACAGCACCTTCCACATGGGCGGCGCGATAGCCGGGCTGCGGGCGATCAGCGTCGTCAACAGCGACAGGGCCGGGTCCATGAAGCCGTAGGAGCTGCCGCCCTGGTGGCCCAGAATGACGAAGAGCATCGGTGCCACGCGCAACTGAATGGCCACGAAGATGTCCTGCTGAAGCGCCTCGGGTGTGAGAGGGGACAACGCCGAGGACGGAACGTTAGACGACGACGGAGGCGCAAGGAAGCAGTTCGGATCCATCGCGTGCACCGCCGCCGCTGCAGCCTCTCGAACCGCGAGTGTCGTCGCACTCTCCGGCAGCGCCTTCACCAGTGTTGTGAGCGTCTCGAGCAGCTCATCGGCGGCCATCAGCACATCCGCGAAGCCATCATCGTCGAGGATGCCCTCCGCCGCCCCGCCGCCTCCGGCCCCGCCCGTTGAGGTCGCCATGGACTCCATCGCGTTGTACTTGCTCGTCACGCGCTCCAGCACCACGGAAAAGTGGCTCACCAGCATCTCCGCCAGCTCCAGCGCCCACTGCGAGAGCGTGTCCTTGTAAAAGGCGATCGTCTTGCGCAGCGTGCGGACCACCGCCTCGTTGTCCATCATGCGCATCACGTCGAAGTAGTGCTGAATGAGCTCGGCGATGCAGGGGTTAATGATGTCACGGGCGTAGGGGTGGCAGACAAGGCGGGAGAAGCACACGCAGGCCTGCACTCGCACTGGCGCCTCCGGATCGTTCAGCAGACCCAGCACGGGCAGCAACGCCTGCTGGTACGCCTGCGGGCTGCTCCACTGTATCGCCGGTGCGAAGGTGCTCAACAGCAGCACCGCGCGTGCGCGCAGGAAGCCCAGTCGGTACTGCGTCACCGGCACGGTGAAGGTGGTCAGGACGTACTCTAGCTTGTCATCTCCGAAGCGCAGCGCAAAGAGGATCTTCTTGAAGTGGTAGAAGCAGTAGAGGGCCGCATCAACGCGACGGGCTGCCTCGTTGGCCGGTGTGTAGAGATCGGTGTCGTCGCCGCTGGCTTGTGCGGCCGCCACCACGTAGGCCTGCAGTTGATTTAATAGGAAGTTCACGAGAGATGTGAAGAGCTCCTTATCGTGGAACTTCTTCGTACCGACAGCGAGGGACATGAGCAGGCTGGTTGACACGACCTTCGCGCTGTAGATGTCACCAGCCGGGTTCGTCTGCTTCCGCACGTACTCCTCGGGGTTGTCGTTCCAGAGCTCCTCGTCCTCGGTCGTGAAGGCGAGGCGGGGGAAGAGCAGGGTGGTCATCACCTCCTCGGCGTGCGGATGGAGCACACTCGTGTACGCAGCCTTGTGATCCACCGCCATCGTCAGCACCTCGAGCGCGAGGATGTACGCTTTTGAGGTGAGCGTGAGAAGCGGCATGGCGTGCCAGCGGACGAGGCTGAGGGCGGCCTCGACGGTGGGCAGGAGGTACTGCGCCGAGAAGTGAGTCGCCACCGCGCGGCAGCGTCGCTCGCAGCTCTTCGGCGACACAAACTCCTGCGTCAGCTTGTAGGCGACGTTCAACACCCACTTCAGCAGCATGAAGGTCGGTGACTGCTGGAACGCGTCAAAGTGGTCGCCGCGAAGCTGGCTGGCCGTCATGCCGGTGTCACCAGGGTGATGCAGCGCCTGCTCCAGCCGGCCCTGGCACACCGGCAGCACGATCTGCTGAAACACCTGTATCGGCTTCACGACACAGGTGGTGTAGAGGTAGTCCAGCGCCGTCACCTCGCACAAGCAGGCGGGCCAACGACTCGCGAAGAGCGAGAAGATGCACTTCATCGTCAACCGCATGCAGTGCCCGAGACCTTCGATCTCGGCAGAGAAGCGCAGCGGGGCGGTCATCGCAGCGCCGGTGGAGGTGACGGCGGCGCCGTGGCTCGCCAGTTTGGTCAGCTCGCCCTGCCACCTAGTTGTCAGCAAGTCCATCAGACCCACCAGGGACGGCGCCAGCTGCCCCGAAAACGCGTCCGCCGCCTCCGCGCCCACCCTCAAGGGGTCCTCGCACAGCTTACAGCAGCCGCGCAGCACGCCCAGGCAGCCCTTCAACTGCGACAGCATCAGCACCACGATGGCGTCATCGATATCTCGCGTGTGGCTCGAGTTCGTTTCGTAGAGGCCACGCAGGGCGGACGTGCTCTGCTCAATGAGACTCGTTAACTGTGGCAACAGCTGCGGCCACCGGGTGGGGTAGTCCACGCTGATGATCTCTACCGTCGCGGCGAGCAGCTGACGGCGGACGGCCTCCGAGACGTGCGGCTGACACTGCAGCGGCACGATTAATTCCCGCACCCGTGTCTTGACGTCCTCCGGGCAGTGTGCGTTGCGGTTCCAGTCGCTGCGGCCCACCTCATTGCGGAAGCGGATCGCACCGGCGTGCAGCGCGCTGCTCGTGGCAGTGGGGGTCGTGTGGAAGCTGTGCTCGCACACGGTGGGGGACTGACAGGCGTGCTCGAGGAGGTGCAGCACGAAATGCGGGTCGTCCGCCGCGATGTGGGCGAGGGCCTCCTCGGCGGACTGACGCGTCGTCTTGTCGGGCGAGAGCGTGGCGGAGAAGATCTGGAAGAGGCGATCTGGGACGCTCTTACTCTGGCTGTCGGCGGGGCTGCTGCTCATCTTTGTGCTTCGCCGGTCTTGAATTCCTACTGTTATTCCTTAAGGTAGATGTATATAGATATATATACCAACGCACGAGAGGTGCGTGAGGTGAAGCAGCGCGTTACTGATTACTGTCCTTCGCTTTCTTTGAGACAGACGAGCGCTGCCGGTGCTGCTGAATTCACAACGCAGGAAGCACGGCAACAAAGAAAAGCTCTCGGGGTGCTTCTGTGTGGTGAGTCCCCACCGAAAACGAGCGCGCACCGCTTGTCGTGTGTGTGTGTGTGTGTGTGTGCGTCTGTGCGGCAGAGAAGTTGGGTGTGGATTCACAGAGATGCGGGCGTTAATCTTCGCTTGCGGGACACCAAGAAAGAAGTAAATACAATGAGAAACAGAGAAGGACAAATCAGTGCATACAGTGAAAGAGAGACCTGCGTAGGAGCGCGGTTGACGGGGGAGCCGCACCTGACTCAGCATGCGCGCGAGCGCGTACGGAACCGAGGAAGGAAGAAACGCCAGCGGGCCTCTGCGGATGCCAAAGAGCGTCCCAGCTCTTTCTCTTCTACCAAGATATTCAAACGCAATAGAGGTATGTATGTATGTATAACACGCGCCAAGCGGTAGAAGCAACGCACGATTTCCTTGTAGGGAGTTTAAAAGTGAGAAAAACAAAAGCTACAGAAGCTCATAGAAAGACAGAACCGCCCTTTCGTGTAGCCCTGCAAAAGTGGCAAGGCGCGAGGCGCAACTCAGTATGATAAATATATATATATATATATAACTCTACGCTCGTGAGGCGGCGCAGTACACAGCATCCAAAAATAGAAATGGTAGTCATGATAATAATAACAGCAATAACAATACAGGAATTGCACGGAAGGTGTTGCTACTGCGGCAGAACCTTTAAAAAAAAAAAACCCCGTCCATTATTCCAGCGGTCGCACACACATGCACACACACCATTTGTGCATTCGGCCACGACAACGAAGAAGAACCACAGTTCAAGTACACCTGCACTCGGTAATTCTACGTCCACTGTGCCGGTCCAACGGTAGTCTATTCACCTCGACGAGCTCCATCTGTGTTGCTCAGTTCTAGTTCGATCCATGGGTGCGTTGGTAGAAGGTAGGCTGCGGCGGCGGGTGGTGGGCCAGCCAGTGCTCCGCGATGGCCTGCCGCGTCGCCACCCACACCTTCTCCTTGGTTTGAATGTACGCCAGAAAGCGGCGCAGACCGGCCGCACGTGCTGGCTTGCCCGCGACACGGCAGTGCAGGCCAACCGACATCATCTTCGGCCTCCCACGCGCCCCCTCGTCGTACAGTACGTCGAACTGATCCTTCAAGTACTGAAAAAACTGCTGCGACTCCGTAAATCCGTTGTAGGCGACGTACTTCATGTCGTTCACATCCAACGAGTACGGCACCACCAGCTGGCAGCCCTCGTCACCGTTGTACTTGCGCAGCGGCTGAGTGTAGTAGGGCAGGTCGTCCGCGTAGCTGTCGGCGTCGTAGAGAAAGCCGCCCTCGAGGGCGCAGATGCGCGCGGAGTTGGGGCTCGTTCGACCAATGTAGTATCCCACAGGGCGTTTGCCCGTGACGCGGGTGTGAATGTCAATCGCTTTCTTCAACTGCTCCTGCTCGTCTTCCATTGGCACATCTTGAAAGTCCAGCCAGCGATAGCCATGCGTCGCTATCTCCCACTGCTGCTCCTGCATGGCGGCGACGACCGCCGGGTTGAGCTCCAAGGCGCGTGCAACACCGAAGATGGTCACCGGCAGCTTTGCTTCTGCGAAGGCGTCGCGCAGGCGCCAGAAACCGGCTCGAGAGCCGTACTCGTACATGCTTTCAATCTGCGCGCAGCGTGCGCCGGGAATGGAGGCGGTGCCGACCATGTCAGAAAGGAAGCGCTCCGAGCACGCGTCGTCGTTCAACACGGTGCGCTCGGACCCGGCTTCGTAGTTGACGACGAAGTTGATGGCGATGTTCGCCTCGTTTGGCCAGTGCACCTCGGGCGGCTGCCCGCCGTAGCCGACGATGTCGCGTTCGTAGATGTCCACATCATTGTTCATTGCCAGTTCGTTAGATGCGTATTCGCTCACTTCGCTTTGTAATGTTGGCTGTGAAGAGAAAGAAAAAGATTCTTTCCTTTCGATTCGTTCGAACGCACAGCGTTGAACACAGTGTGCAGTGTTGCGCCAGTGGAACGAGAGAGGAGCGAGGAAGAGGGAAAAAAAAACCTCCAATAGCGACAAAAAGAAGCAGGAGAAAGCAACAAATTGTAAAGATAAAGAAAGGGGTAATTGGGTGCCAATGGGTGCGCAAGAAGCAGCATCGCGGGAGCAGCGGCGATGTGATCGCCGAACGAAGGAGGGGAGGGGGAGGGAGGAGGAGGGGGCCTCGCCGTCGTGCGCCGCCGCACTCCTTGTCGCTGATGATCGCTGCCAAGAGGAGGCGAGCCGCCGTCTGCTGCTACAGGGCCTTTAGTTCATCCATCTGGATACAATGGGCATGCATCGCGACGAAGCAACGGGAAGCGCCCCCGCGCAGAAGCGGAGCGTCGATACGCTGTGCTCGTACAGAGCTGTGACTTTCTTTTCGACCCTTCGCTCGATACGGTGAACTTCGTCCCTGCGTATTTCTACCTTTTTCCTTGAGGAAGAAAAAGAGTTCTCGCAAGCCAAAGTAAATAATAGTAATAGTGCAACTCGGGCACGTGTACGCGTTGCGCTCCGTAGAGATTCTTCAAAGCAGTAAAGCTCCTACATGGGCGAAAAGAACCACCAGCGGCGTCGTACACCTGCAAAGAAGAGAAGAAGAAAAACAAAGTACAGTTGTTCCGTCATGTAATGAGAAGTTCCCTCGACGCCACACGCAGAGGGGCACACCATCAACGCCACCAACAGAAAAACGGACTCGCTTCAGTTCCCCTTCGTCTGCGAGAAGGCCACTCCGTCAAAGCGCGAGGTGCCGCCTTCCTCCTCGAAAGAGTCCGTCCGCGCCCGCCGCCCACCGCTGCTCGACGACTGCGCGTTGCTCTGCGTCGTTGCGTTGAGGTTGACGACGGCGGGGTTGAACACGCCACCCCCATTCGTGCCCGTGTTCACCTGCTCCGACATGTCGTTCAGTCGGATCACGTGCTTCGAGATGTCGCGCAGGTAGTCGCCGAGGGACGTAAACTGGGACTCCAGCTCATCAAAGTGGGCTGCGACGTCCTCAAAGGCCTTGTCGGCGAACCCGTCCTCGTTGCCCCACTCACTCTGGTGAATGTGTGGGGCGGCGGACGCGGTGCCGAGGGAGCTGTCGCTCATCACGCCAAAGGGGCCGGGCGTGGCGCCGACGATGCTCTCGCGGCCGTTACGCGACTGCGGTCGACTGACCCCCGGCGAAAGCATGCCCGACCGGCCGACGTTCGTCGAGGAGGAGGGAACGGCGGTGAAGGAGCTCCGCGGTGCCAAAGCCGGGTTGCCGCTGCGGAAGAGCGCGCTGCTGTCCAGCACGATGCTGCTGTTGCCGAAGTTGGTGCCGTTAGCGGCTGCCCGCTGCGACTGCGGTGGAGGCTGCGCGCTGGCATACATGTTCGTCACCAGCGCGTGCTCATCGGTGTTGCTGGACTTGAGCAGCGCGCAGGTGCGGTAGAAAACCTGCGTCTCGATCTCCGCAATCCGCCGCAGCTCCTGCACGAAGGCGTCCTGTGTGGAGGCGGAGCCGAAGGCGTTCATGCGGCCGGTGGCAAAGGCAACTTCAATGTCGTGCAGCTCCGCCTCCACGTTGGTTAAATCAGACTGCATTTTCACAAATGTGTGGCTGTGTATGGGTGTGTGTGTGTATACAAAAGTAATATATAGTGATGATGTGACAGCGAAATGAATACGCAGCTGCAGCCTCACCCATCTGAGGGAAATAACGCCCCGCAACAAGACGAAAGAGGAGGAGCAGCAGCGGATAGTGAGGAAAGCTATAAAAAAAACGTATGAGATAAACGGCCAGGTCCTACGTACTTCACACGATACACTGTGGAGAGAGCAGCAAGAAGGAAAACGAAATTAATGCACCGCAGCTTCGTCGCCCTCTTTTTTCCTCTGTTGTTGAGCGATGGAGAGGAGACCCCCTTTCAACGTCTTTTAAACGCCTACCTGAGGCATGAAGAAAGACACGCTGTTCCACGCGACAAAAGAGTTGCGATTGCGCTTCACCTTTGTTTGTAGGCGTCTTGTGGAAGCGTCGATTGCGGAGGAGTGAGCAGTTCGGCAAATGCACAAGGGAGCGAGTTGGCCCTGTTTATAAAGGGAAAAAAAAGAGACGGAAATGAGCTGGAAATGAACGTTGCAAGGAACAAGAAAAACACGCAAGCACAGTTGCGCGTGTCCGCTTTCACGCGTTGGGTGTGCCGCCTCGCCGTCCTCCACCCCTTCCCTCTCTCACTCAGATGTAGTTCTCAATGAGCAGCGAGGGCACGAGTTGCTGCAGCATCAGCCGTGGCACCGTCGTCTCCTCCACGATGCCGTCGATCGTTTGCCGCAGAACCGTCACCCGCTCCTCCGCCTCCGCCAGCTTGCGGGTCTCACGCGCGGCCGCCGCGTCCTCGGTCTGCAGCTGCGCCTCACAGATCGCACGTTCCTGCAGCAGCGCCTGAATGCGTGCGTTGATGCCGTCGACCTCCTCTTGCAGAACAGACCGCACCAGACGACGCTGCTCCGCCGTGGCGGTCCAGTCCCGGCGCTCCTCCTCCGCCGCGGCGAGCTCCTCGCGGTAGACCTTCACGCGACGGCCGGTGCTGATGAGCCGTCGCGCCTGCTGCTCGGCGCCGTCGAGCGTGGCGGGGTCCGCGCCGCAGCTCTGCGAAATGAGGCGGCGCACGTCGGGTGGCAACGGACCCTCCACCGCACCGAGGACGGCTAACGGAGACGCAACGCTGACGTTGGCAGTCGTGGTGGGGCCGCCACGACGATACGGACTGGTGTGATCCATCTCCGTCCCGCTCATCAACTCTTCTCCCGCGTCATCGGCGTCATCCACCGTGCGGAAAATTGCATCGCCTGCCTTCTGTGCCGTTGCTGCCGCCCCAGCATAGCCTGTTGTGCCAACGTGGGGGGACAACGGTACCGGGGAGGGAGACGGCTGCTGCCTGTTCTGCTCTTGCTGGAACAGTGCGTTGTAGTTTACCGCCGTCGCCTTCTTTGCTCGACCGACCGTGGTGTTCACCGTTCGAGAAGACGCTGGTGTGTCCTCGCCTTGTGGCGCGCGCGTAGATGGGGCGGCGCGGCTTTGCTCAGGCTTCTGCGGCCGCAATACATGCGCCATCGTGCTGCCGCGACGGTCGTTGCCCTCGCTGCCACTGCGCTGACTTCGCTGACGCCCTTCGATCGAATCACGCGCCGATGAGTGCAACGTGGACGACGAGGACAAAGTGGACCGAGAGCGGTGCAGCTGCGCGGCGGCGTCGTGTGTGCTGCTGCCGTTCCACAGTAAGGGGGCAGCGGGGTTCGCCTGCAGCGGGCGGGACTGAATGGAAGAAAGAAGAGACACCGACGGCGACGCGGCGCAGGTGGACGCGGCGGTGGCCCGCAGCGTGGGGAAGGAAAGCGTCGCCGCCGCGGTGGCGCGGGAGTGGGAGGGGCCTTCTCTCGTCCTGCCTCGGTCGTCGCGGGCGAGGCCGCTAGTCGACATCGCGCGGCTCCACCAAAATGCAAAATCCGGCTCCCGTGGAAGAGAAAGGATAGAACGTCAAACCTCCAAAAAAAAAAATGAGCGGGGTGCGTTGGTGGCGGTGGTGGTGATGATGGTGGTTCGATCTAGGTGAATGAGAAGTGAGTGCGCTTGTTTTTCCTCTCACCACGGCAGTGAAAAATAAAAGGTGGGAAATATGCGGACCTCCCGTCTTCCTCGCCTCGGCAACGAAGAGCAGCAAAACGTTTTCAGCCACTTGTTTACGGCCAGAGATCATTTGTTGTTTAAGAAGGTTTTAAGAAAAAGAAAAAGACGGGGTTCGATGCAGAGGAGATCACAAAGGAAGAAGAACGACATTTCAAACGGAGGAAGAAAAGAAGAGAGAGATACAGTCGAATGCCGAAATAACTTCTCTGCAGCTCAAAGGTGACATCTCGATTTCAAACCAGCAATAATAGCAGTACTTATACTCGAGAAAGCGCATTTTGCTCTCCATTCACTTGGGCACGTGGGCAGAATGGTTCCTTTGTTTGGGTACGCGTGTGTGTGTGTGTGTGTGTGTGCTGCAACTGACACCTGTGATTAAAAAAGAAAGAAAGATAACTCGTGCGGGCCAACAAAGAAATCCGAACGCGTCGGCTCTGCAGAGAGAGAGAGGGAGAGACTCGACATGTCGAGACGCTCCGCCACCGTAGCAGAAACAAGGGAAAACGGATGTGCGGGCAAACGATTCAAATACACACACACACACACATATATATATATATATATATATATTCCTTCTTTCCCCTACAGTCGCAGAATGCTGCCTGACGTACAACAGCATCCCTTCTTTAATTTTTGATGCTGGCGCTGCTGCTCATTCAAGCAAGGAAAGAGGCAATGCAGACCCCAAAAGCGACAGAAATAAAGGCCAGGGCCGCAGCACAAAGGACGGCACGGGCAGCTCCCCCATCATTTCATCGCCTTTCCCCCTCCCTCCCCCCTTTCGCGTGGCCTTCGCACTGGGCCACTGCGTGCTTTTACAGACTCGCGTCTGCTAAGCACTTAATCATCACGATATGCGCCTCCTCGGCCTTGAAGAACACCCACCCGTCCTTCGCCACGTAGCCCACCTTGAGGTAGAAGTCGCGCGCCGCCAGCGGGGCGTACAGCAGAGCCCAACGAACGTGGCAGACATCGCGGGCGATGTTCTCCGCCGCGGTCATCAGCACTCGGCCAATATCAAAGTTGCGTACGCTCTTCACCACGCAGAGGCGCTCCATCCGCGCGACCACCTCCAGCAGCTTCCCCGCCCGGGGTGCCTTAGCGGCACGGCGCAGCCGCATGCACCCTACCGGGATCAGCACCGGAGGCCTGTAGCGCCCCTTTGCAGGCTGCGCCACGGGGCTCGTCGGCGGCCGCTTGCTCTCTGCGGCGCCACTCGCACCGGCACCGGTGGCCGCGGGGTTGCGTTGCCGGCGCTGAAACCGCAGCCCGGTCTTCTCCATCCCCACGCTCTTCCGCAGCCGGGCCTGCACCGCCAACTCCTCCATTTCTGTGGCAAAAAGCGTATAGTTGAAGTAAGTCACGACGTGCACCGAGATGGCCTCGAAGTCGTCTGCCTCGGTGCGCGTGGCGAGTCCCTGCTCATCGCAGAACACCTTCAGGCGGATGCGCAGGGCATCGGAGTAAACGGGCTTCACCTCGCCGACGACGTATCGGATGACGGTGTACCGATTGAAGAGCTCCTTCGCATCTGGCTGATGGGCCAGCAGCTTCAGCACCTCCTCCAGCTTCGACCACAGCGCCGCCGTGGCCTTGGCGCACGAAGCCGCGTCGTCCGCAGCCGGTGTGCTCATGCGGAGAAGAGAGAAGCGAGGAGTGGGAGGTCAACACACACACACACACCTGGAAACGCTCCACAACGCTAAACAAGAGGAAAAGGATGATGTACGGACTGCGCCGCAAGAAGAGCCGGGGAGAGCAAGAGAAAAAATGAAAAGCGTGGAGGACGAAACACGAGTCGTTGCTTCTCCTCCCTTGCCTTCTCCGTGCGTATTGGCGCACCTTCGTTGGATCGATCGAGAGGCGAAAAATGTCTGGAAAAAGAAAAAAAAAGCCGTGCTCGATCCGTTTGGGAGACGCATGTGTCGCGGTGTTGGCATTTGGCGAAGCCGAAGTGCGGCGCCATCCGCGCTATGTATGCCTTCTTGTTTTTTCTCTGCCACACGCTTTACACTCCCTTGGGAGAGGCGTCGTCATGGGAATCTCCACGTAAAAAAGGGTTTTAAAAGGTTCGTCTCTTCTCGCACCGCCTCCCCCCGCCGCCGCGCTTGTCGTCGGGAGGAGAAAAATACATCTATAGATCTACAGCCTTCTAACTCTTCGTTTCTTTCAAGCGGACACCCGTGCGAGCTCCGCCTTCACCTCGGCAATGCGGCGCTGCAGCAGCGCCACGGTCTCTGCGTCCACCTTCTTCGCCACGTACATCTTCTCCGCCTCGCGGCGTGCCATGTGCTGAAACAAGTTTCGCCACGTGAAGTCAGCCTCGCCGCAGCGGTAGTAGTGATAGACCAGGCTGCAGAACACGCCTGTGTAGCCCAAAAAGTACGTCGTCGGCTCCACTAAGTTCCAGTCAAAGACGAAGAAGATCCAGTTGAAGTACACCACAAACTGCATGGAGAGCAGCGCGAAGGTGCCGTATCTGAGCAGCGGCAGATATACCTGGTAAGCGTACCGGTCAATCGCCGCCTTTCGTGCCGCAGGTTGCTCGAGTGCGGCTTCGGTCTCTGCCAGGAGGGCCTGCAGCTCCCGCACCGTGTGATTGGCGAGGAGAGTCGTCGCGGTCGTGGTCATGTTTTGCATCGATGACGTCGACGCTGCTGCGGACGTCAGTTTGTCAGGTTGGGGAGCGTCTACCGGTGTTACTTGCAGCGCGTCACGAAGAAGCTGCTCAAACGCGTGCACATCGGTGACCGCATACGACGTCGAAGCGGCAGCAGCGCTGTCTGTTGGCGGATGATTTGTGGCAGGCGATGTGGCGTATCCGGTGCGAAGAACCACGCTCGATAATGGAGTCGCTTTCGCACCAGTGGGACGAAACATGTGCTCTAGCGGCTGACGAGGAGATGCCAAAGCACCAGCTTTGAGGCGCCACGGCGAGAGCGAGATGCATCTGTTTGGTATGGAAGTGGCCGAATTCCGGCCGTTGCAGTGCAGTGCCCGACACGCAACGCGACGCGCGGTGCTGGAAAGTAGCACCGTCCCCGCACACATTACTCCTTCTCGTTCGTAGAAGGGGAGATGCGGGTCGCGCTGGGTGGACTTCCGCCAGAAAAGAAAAAGGGAAGGCGTTCAGCGAAAGCAGTAGGTATAAAGTAACGGCTACAACGTGTGGCTGCGGAGCTGCGTGCCTGCAAAGTTCAGCGGTGTAGCGTTGAGACAGTCTTTCTTCTTCACAAAGGGGTATCACTTTCCTTTCTAAGGTAAAAGGAAAAAGATAGAAATACCCCACTTGCTGGGACTATCAGAGGTGTGTATCTCCTTTCTTTTTAAGCAAATGAACAGCGAGGAGTAAAGGATGGAAGTAGTGAAGCTCAGACAGAAAAAACGCGAAGAAGGAAGAACGCGGCGGCGCTCCTTCCTCCTCCCCCTCCTCCCCTCCTCCCACCGCCTCGAGGGAAGCGCTTTCTTGGAAGAAACCCGTCTCTTCTCTTCCTCTTTCTGCTCTACGAGCTCATTGTGCATGAAGTCGAGAACGTCCACAACGGACATCGACACGACATCTCCCATCCGGGCTTCACCTCGCATCTCTTACTCTTCTGTTGCTTTACCGCATTGTGTGGATGGGCCGTGTAGCAGCGAGCTCCTGTGTGTGTGTGTGTACTTCTGTGTGTGAAGACAACGCGATTTGGCCGACACAAAAACCGCAGCACCAAAGGTAACACCGTGCTTCGCGACGTATCGGCATTTAACGAAATGAGCAGACGAGGGAGAAGCGACGGCGTTGCACAGCCAACCTTTCCTTCCTCCTCTTTCTTTCTTTTTCCTTTGTCCTCATTGCGAGACGGGGCTCGCACCATCTCACAGGTGCACGAACATTTGGTCCAGCCGTGTCGCCGACACCACGGTCCCCACCGTCACACCCAATCCAAGACCCATGCTCAGGCGAAACAGCGCATTGCCGCTATTCCACGCGAGCAGCATCGTGAAGATGCCATAGGCGCTACATCGTCCGGTTGTGCGCATCCACCGATCCTCATCCGGCGACGAGCGCAGCGTGGCGGCCCGACTCACCAGCGCGTCCGTTTGGAGCTTCGTGAAGTACGGCGTTGGCCGACTGTGCAGTCCTTTCGGCTGCTTCTCCACACCCACCGTAGCGGCTGAAGAGGAAGAAACTTCAGGCGTCGCAGCGGGTGCCTCGACAGGTCCGCGATAGTCTTTGTACCGTGACGCGTCGTGCACCGTCGAGTGCGCTGCGGTCCAGAGAACACCGTGCGGGACCAGTAGCGACTCCCACGGCATCTTCGCCTCGCCCAAGCCCAGCCGGCTCAGCTCCTCCCTGACCGGATCGGTATGCAGGTGCAGTCCCACAAGCGCCTTGGACACGAACGACTGCTCCGCCCGCAGCTGCGCTTCCGCGGCGTGGCGGCGCAGCGTGTACTGCGAGGCTGCCATGACAGCATCCGCCTTCTCCCGCTGCGTCGTCGCCCGCAGACCGGCAGGCGACACGTCCTGCGCACACTGATGCAGGCCCACACCGATCCCGCCCAGCATGCCCAACGGGGTGCTGTAACCCGCACTGGGAAAGAAGACGTGGTGCAGTTTGGACAGCGGCCGGTCCGCAAAGGAGAGGCGTGGGCGGTGGTACAAGTAGAAGTACGCGATGGAGGCGGCGTAGCAGAGAGGGACCGTGTAGCGCATGCCGGTGGCCGCGTAGTACTCGCACAGCGTCGCCCCAATCAGTTCATTGGCGCGAGTGCAGGCGGCGTAGTCCGGGTAGTCGCGGAGGTCCACCTTTTCGGTGAGAAGAGCGACGCAGTCCATTGGCTCAAGGCAATGCGATGCGGCAGCTATGCGTCAACACAAGCACATTTACTGTGTTCTTCTTCTATGTTGTGCGTCAGCGACGTCACTTACGCTGGAGTACACGCGCAATGAAGATGTGCGGGCCTAACGACGCACCAAGCGCCGATGCTGATCTGCGTAGAATCCGCTGTGTGCGATGCGAAGCCGCGTTCGAGGCCCTAAACACAAAAAAAATGACGGTGTCCAATGTAAGCGCAGCAACGCGGTCACTTCGTGCGTAGTGCAGCGGTTCAATACTCCGGAGAGTCGAAAGTGGAGAGAGATACAAGAGTGAAATTAGAAGGAGAGCTCAAATGAAGCGTCGGCGCTCTTGTGAGAAGCACGTCATCCCGCCTGTGCAGCAGGAAACGGTGTCGAAGGAAAGGAGGGGGCCAGCTGCCACCGATTTCCTTTCCCACACCCGTCGTTACTTTCTCTCTTTTTCTCTCTTCGGCGGAAAAAAAAAGCCTGCTGCTTTGGATGCGTCACCGGAAGGAAGCACAGCCATTTCGGCTGATGACGATCCTCTTGAGAGGTGAAGAAATAAAAAAAAGAAACGCTGTTGACATTTTGATGTTGCTTTACTCTTATCCTTTTTCTTTTGATATTCAACGTGGTGTTATTGAGCTTACTGTCAGCGCGTGCACGCAATTCGATATGGATGCCCCCCTTTTCCACTTTTTTTCGTTGCCCAATTGTCCCTTTCCGTTCCGCCGGTAACGTGGCTTGATAGTTTGCTTTTCTCCATTCTACGAAGCGCAAACGGTGTGCGTCGGCCAACACCAGCGACTGGATCGGCGCAGCGCCGGAGATGCGGAGGCAAAAGACACCCCTTCCTTTCCTTTTCGGTCGGCACAGGTCGTTTACTCTTTCAGCGCTTTGCAGGCGGGCGGGGAGAGGCGGCGACCAGGAAAAAAAGGAAAAACAGAGGAAGAGGGGGGGGGAAGGCAAGACGAATGATAAACGCCATAAAGAGCGAACACGACTCTGTACATGAAGGAAACAGAAATAATAATAAAAATTAAAAAACGCGACTTCATCATGATAACAGCGGTACAGAAATTAATGTTAAAAAGGTAGACAAAGGTCGGCAATCGACGCAGCTCGCACACACCACCACCACCACCACCCAAGTCTGGAGGCGCGCAGGACACAGAAAACACAAAGGCACCGTGAAACAACAGCAAGAACTGAGAAAGAGAGAGAGAGAAAAAGGCAGAAAACGAAGCTACCGTTACTGCCGCGAGACAAACGGTGCCTCACTCTTCAGGAACGACTTCTCATGCTCCGTCGGCACACGCGCTTCGACATCCGCGGATTTGGTGGACCCCATAAACGTCACCAACCGCGCCACCGCCGCATCGCTGCTGCCCTCCAGCACCGTCAACGAACGGGCTCGAATGGCGTGGCAGTACGACAGCAGCAGCTGCACGCGTCGCAGCAGCTGCGCCGTGTGTGCGACGACGTCCGCCAGCATGGTGGCACACTCCGCGGCACTGCGATGCACCGCAGCGGTGCTCGTCGCGTCGTTCTCCAAATCCGCCGTGAAGAAAGACGGCACGTTCACCGTGGCGATGGCGGCGTTGACAGCGGAGGTGGCTGACCCAGCCGTACCGTTCATGCTCGCCGCCCCACCAAACGCCGGGAAGCACCACTGCATGTACAGCAGCAGCAGCTTCCCTTTCGACGTTAACGAGGCCGCCACGTCGGCCAGCGGGGTGATCGGGACGGGGTTCTCTCCCTCCTCCTCCGGCACCTCCGGCGATGCTTCCTTCTGTGAACGATGCGGAGTCGCGCGACTTGACTTGGTGCTGTGCGCAGCGGACATCGGTGCGGGCCCCCAGCACCAGGCGTGGTACAGACGCGTGGCGTGGTGCACGGCGAGGAGGTTGGCGCGCAGGTTCAGCAAGAAGAGAGCCCAATGCGTCATGGCCACCCCTACCGCAGAAGCGGTGCGAGTAGCCATGTCATGGGGAGGGGGCGATGCCGGACCGGCTGTAGCTGGCGCCTTGTTTGACGAGCGTGGCTTTTTCTCCTTCTTGTTTTCAGCGCCGTCTTTGCGTGCCGCACTCACCGAAGTCAGCAAATGGTCGGTGCTTTCCAAGAAGTCGAAGAGCAGGCGCAGCGCCGCTTGGGACCAGCACAGCGCACCCGGCAGGCGATGCAGCATAAACTCGCTGTCTCTGTGAAGCGCGTGGCACTCCTTCGACGCACGGCACCGCGCCTGCAGCGTCTCGCGCACGCGCGCCGTGCGTGCGATCTCCATCCCACTCGACGTGGCCAGTTGACGCACGGTGAGCAGCACGTCCGCCCGCTCTTGCGCCGACTCGTAGTCGAGCACCTCCAGCGGGCCCTGCCGCCACCACTCCTCCTCGCCGTCGACCCCGCCTGCGCCGATGGTGCGCGCCGAGACCAACGTGTTGTGCACGCAGCCGGCCACGAAAGGGTTCTCCAGTCCACTCGCGTTTGTCAGCTCGCGCAGCACGGTCTGTCCGCACTCGGCCCAGCAAACCGCCTGCAGCACGCGCGCTGACATGAGGTGAAGCAGCGTCGGCGACGCCCCTGTGTCGTTGCTGGGGGCCAGCGACAGCAACAGTCCGCCGTCGACCGACTTGACACTGCTCTCCGTCACTTCTTCGTCCTGCATGGTGTTAGTGCTCGTGGTGGTGTTTGTGGTGGTACTTCCTTGCGGAGGCGTGTTCTGCAGCCGTGCCCATAAAGACATCGCCTCGGTGTTGACTGCGCGCAAGTTGTTCAGCTCCGCCTCCACCATCGCGCACGCACCGCGAAAAGAGGTGATGGGGCGGTCGACCAGCGTGTTGGTCCCCTCGTCGTCCACCTCCTCTGACCGACTCCGCGGAGAAATGGCGAGCTTCTCGGCTCTGCCGGTGCCATCGGCGGTGATGTCGTGCGGGGCCTGCTGATGTGGAGGCTGGTAGCTCGCCAAAGGAGAAGAGGGCGACGGCGAGAAGGAGGTCGGGTAGCGCTGCGCCTGCGTGAGGGAGCGTCTCACCTCGACGTTGCCGCCGCGCTCGTCGCTCATGGTGTTGCCCAGCACGGCCGAGCTCGACTGGCGCACGACGGTGGACCGGCCCTGCGCTTCCGTCTCCCGACTGAGCGACATCTTCACGTGCGTCAGCCGCACCAACTCGTCAATCGCCTTCAGCAGCACCTCCGTGGCGTGCCGCACGTACTTCGGCTTGTGGTACTTACTACTACCGAGCTGGTTAAAGAGAGACATGGAAGCTTCCTGCTGGGAGGATAGAACGGACAGCATGTGGCGCTGCTGATCGCGCACGCGCAGCGTCGCCGAGCCAAAAACTTCGGCGTCAATCACGCCGGTGCTGTCCTCTGAGTCCATTTCGAACGCACTCAAGCTCTGTTGGCCGAGTGCGGCGACGTGGGCCTGCAGACGTGCAAAGGCGTTCGACAAGGCCGCGTTGCGCTCCGTCAGCCGCTCCACCTTCAGCTGCAGCGCGCTCATCTGCTGCTCGTGCAGGACGCGCTCTCGCTGCAGCGTGGCCGCGAGCTGCGACGCCCACGGCGGCAACACCGCGTCGTTCACGCCGACGGCGGTGGCAGGCGGAATACCCGTATACCCGGGCATTGCATTGTTGCTGATGATGTTGTTTGTGGTGGAGGCATAGCTATTGTTGTTCGTGGCGTCGCCTTCCGACGGCGACGGGGCGCGCTGCTCACCACTGCCGTACAGGTGGCTCTGCCCGCTCATCTCTGCTACCCCTGAGCTACCGTAGTCCACCCCAGGAGGGCTGGATAGCGACGGTGAGAGACGCGTCGGGGCCGTCGAGTTCGCGACGGAAAGACGGGCTGCAATGGGGGACGGGTGCTGCTGTTGTTGAAGCTGGTGCAGTTTGGCCTGCACCTTGGCGTACATCAACTGCAGCTGCTCCGTCGCGGTGGCGATCGTCTTCCCCTCTGGTGTAACGTAGTCGCGGTTGACGCGCTCCGTCGCCGGCGGCGTCAACGCGGGCAGATTCGTGATGGGGCCCTGCTCGACCAACCACTGTTGGCGGCTACGAAGCAGCTGACTAAAATCGGCGAGCGTGGCCTCAGCGGAGCGCTGCTGCACGAGAGACTGTCGCACCTCGTCCGCCGTCTTCACCAACACCTTCAACGCGCTCTTGATCTCCTGCGCCTCTGGCCCGATCGCCTCCACGAGAGTGGAGTGGTCCGCCTCCACGTTGAACTTCCGGTCCGTACGGGATTCGGGTGCGTGCTTCACCACCGTGGCCCGGTGCAGCGAGGTACGGTCGACCATAACGACAGCGCCGCTGTTGGTGTTGTTGTAGGGAATCATGCTGCGGTTGCTGCTCCCGACGTGCGGAACGAGTGCGTTGGACTCCGTCCCCGGAAGCGGGCTGCCCGTGTCGGAGCTGAGCGGCGCAGCAGTGATCAGCGGCGGCTGGGCGAGCTGCGCCGGCGAGGAGGGCACCGCCCCCGTCGTGGGGGCCCGGATCACCTTCTCCGTGCGCTGCTCCGGGTACCTGCTGGCGGATGCAGCGGCGTGCGTCAGGGACGCCGTGCCGACGTACACAAAGATGGCCACAACGACGCCCTTCTTCGGGTCGTCTTGCGCGGCGACGGCGAAGCGGGTGTTCGGGATGACGTGAATGCCAAGCAGCAACGGGTTCGCGAACTTGGTGTACGCGATCACGAACGGTTCTCGCGGACTTGAGACGTCCAACACCATCAAGCGACTCTCCCCGTTTGGAACCTCCTGACCCGCGATGATGGCGTGTTCGCCTTCAAACAGAATAGCACTGAACGTGAAAGGCAGCGTCCGCTCCACATCCATCGTGGCGGGGTTCATCAGCACGCTGCCCCGCGCCAGCCCCACCCACACGAGACCGGAGTTGCGATGATACTGAATGACGGAGGCGTCGGACTTCATCTTGATCCGGTTCTCCTGCCCCTTCGGCACGTTGACATTCTCGCCCCCTGGCTCGAAGACGCGCACGCAGGGATCGTCCGCCACCGCAAAAACCTTGTCCTCCGCCTCCGCGTACGTGGCATCCGTCAAGATCGCGGCAATGTTGCGCTTCTTCAAGATGACGCGCCGCTGCGGGTCCCAGACGTGCACGCCCTTCTCACGGCCGGCCGTCCACACCTTATCCCGCGCCTCCCAGTACCAAATGCGGTTGATCGTCTGCGTATGGGCGTTGTGGATCACCTGGTGCTCCAACGTGGCCATGTTCACCACCGCCATCTGCCCCCGACTCAGACCGCACCAAAGGTAGTTCGTGTACGACAGTTTGTCACGCGCGCCGGAGGGGCTGGCGGTGCCGCCGCTGTCCTCGCCGTTGCTGTCGCTGTCGTCCTCGTCGTCGCCGTCAGCGTTTCGAATCGGAATGAGGGCGCCGGCCGCGGCACCGAGTTTGCCGGACTTCCGCGTCGAGGTGCTGCGCCGCCCACTCTTTTTGCTACGCCGGCCCGTCTTGGGCGACGCCGTCTTGGGCGTGCTCAACCCCCCGCGCGGCGAGGCCGAGGCGGACTTGAAGGTGGTGCCCTGATCCTCCGCGATGCGCACCACCGCCATGCAGTGCACCTGCTCGATGTCCTTCACGGATTTGGAGTGGGAAAGCTCGCAGCCGTCGATACGCAAGGCGGCCAGCGGGTCGTCGCCGACGGCGGCCCATAGCACCGGCTGCTCGGGGTCCATCGCCAGGGCCCGCACGGTCAGCGCAGCGCGGTAGACGACGCCCGGCGCAGCCTCGCTGGCGTTTAGCCGCGAGTACTGCGGTGGGCTCGCGGAGGTGTTCGTCCCAGCCTTGCCTGCGTTGGGGCGGCGCAGCACCGGGGTGTTGAGATGCGGGCTAGGGGACGTGTTGGCCATGTCGGGCGGGCGCGTTGCCTGCCCGGGTGTATTCCCGCCCCCGCCCACACCCGCCACGGTTGTCAGTGCGTTGCCGGCACTTGGACTGCTGCCGCTGTCTCGTGTTGTGCCGCCAGCGGTGCCGGCTGCAGCGGCGGCCCCGATGGTGGTGGTGGTATTGGCCGCCGGCAGCAGCGAAGATACACCACCTAACGTGCCGCTGACCGCGTTCGGCGCATTGGTGTTGTTGCCAGGCCGTGTCCCGGCATTTACTAAAACAGGTGACGATGACGGCCCGCTGCCCACTATGATGGACGACGGAGGGCTGTGCACGGTGACGGTAGGACGCGCTTTGTTCGTTCGCTTTACGGAAGCCATGGAAGACCCGACGCCCGTCGCAGCTGCCGCGGGCGTCGAGGGAGAGGCGACGTCGGGGGGCGCGTCGAGTGCTGCCGCGCTGCCCTTATCGACAAACGTGTCCTTGTCATCCTCACCGTTATCCTGGCCAGGGGGAAAGTAGCAGTCCGTTGTCGGCACCTCCTCCTCCTCCATCGCTATGAGTATGTCTCCGTTTGCACCGGGCATAGGTATGCTGAGACGACGTGTAGCGGCCGCCGCCGCCGTGCTCGTCTCTGGCGTCGCTCTGCTGCTGCTGCCTTGCTCGTTTGCGCTACCCTGCAACGCCGCCGCCTTCGCTCGCCCTTGATCGTCGTGGGAAGGGAGGTAGCCGTGAGAGGGTCCACCGGTCCACCCTCCGCCGCTCTTGCCGGTGTTCGACGATACACCCTGCATCGCGTGACTCTCTCCTTGCAGGCCCGGCGCGTCTGCGGTGGTAGAGGGGTGGCGGCGCCCAGAGGGAGAGACGGCGACGTCGTCGTCTGACCACGAATCGAGTCGTCTACGCCCGTGACTCGGCATGCTCTGCGGGGAACCCTGTTACACGCGCGCGTTGATCACAAAAAGGACAAAAGACAATCACACACACACACACACACGCTAATAAAACAAAAAAAAGGAAGGCGTACGCAGCTCGGAAGCAACAGCTTTCGACTGTTCTTCTTTCTTCTTTCTTCTTTTTCCCAGTAGCCCTGCCCGTGCGAGAGCGTTCGCCCCCTCTTGGTTAGTTTGACAGTCTGAGATCTACGGACCTTCTCGAAAGGTGAAAGAACAACGAATACGACCACAGGAGAAAAAAAAAATCGACAACACAAGCGTATCACACACGGAGATGTGAAGGTCAGGAAGGAGAAGTATCAAGAAAGAAAGCAGTGGAATTGTACAGTGAGCCCCCACGTGCTACAGAGAATCAAAACACCAGGAAGAAAAGAAAGAAGTGACGGCCGTTCAGTTCGGTGAAACCCAAAAACACAAAAAAACGCACGATGGGGGAAAACAGCAATCGAAGCAGAAAGAGGCCCAACTGCTTCCACGAAGTGTAGAAATACACAACGGCGCTTTTTTTTTTTGGTTTGCTTTTCTGTTTTCGGGTGAGGACTGGAGAGGCGTTGGGGGATGTGCCGGTCAGAGCCTTGTGTGCGTGTGTGTGTGTGCCTTTGGTGCTTTGGTGTGTCACGTCCAACAACAGGGAGGGGAATGGAGTGGGTGTCCTTCGCTGGAGGAGATGCGGAGAACACAGAAGAAGAAAAAAAAAGTCGAAGAGAAGGAGCGCACGCTTGCAAGCGGACGCGCCAAAGCAGCCGACGCTCCTCGGCACAGTCCCACACGAGTTGTTCTTCTTTTCGTTCTTCTTTCGGTTGGGATTTTGGTGTTGTTTGTTTGTTTTCCCTCTCTGTTCAACTATTGTGTAAGGCCTCAGCTTCTTCTGTGCAACGTGCAATCAACTTGCGGCAAAGAGAGGAGGAGGAGGGGAATATATATTGTGTATAGATGTGTATTTGCATGAAACGACTGCTCCGCATAAAAGCGTTGTGTTGCGCGTGTGACAAATGCAAAGGTAGGAAGAAAAAAGAGGCACTAGGTGAGCGTGTCGCGAGAGTTGTGAAGGGAGCCCGCGGCTTACGGTGCTGATCTGCACGGTGGCTGCAACTTTTGTATCTCTGTTTCTCGAGAAAAACACACTGGAGAGAAAAGATGCTTCTCACATACCTGCGCCGCAGATGAAGCCGAGGAGGCAGAAGCTTACGACACGCCCTGCCCTTACGTACTTTTATCTCTCCACCGGAGCTCTATCAAGCTCTCCTTTTTGTTTGTCCAAATGTCGGAGAAAGCTGCTTTGGAAAAACGATAGTAAGTGTTATGGAGATAAAAATTCGAACGGAAGTGTGGATTTGAGAGAAACGTTAAAGAGATGAAGAGGGGAAAAGCAGCGAGAGAAACAGAACGATTGAAAACGCGGAGACATCAACGAAACCACCTTAATAACATATATATATATATATATATATATAAGAGCTCGATCGAAGAGCAGCTGCTTTCAGTAGCCCGCCTCCATACCATTCCGCAAAACGCTACGGCGAAGTTGATGGGGGGATTAGCGCAGAAAAGAAAACATCCTTGCTCAACTACGCAAAGACTCTGAACTTTCCTTGCAGTTTCCTCGACCGCGATGCGATGATGTCAAAGGAGAGAAATACGCTAGATGCGATGCGCTTGTCTTTGTTTCACCCAGCGCAAACGATCTTCTCCCAGCCCCTTCGTTGCATTTCTTTCTTTCTTGGATTTTCTTTTTCATGTGGTTTGTGAGAGTAAAATGACAAATCAACGATTAGGGAAAAAAAATGTGATTTCGTTGCCACCGCCCATCGCGCCGACAAAGAGAAAAAAAATGAAGGAAACAGAAAAGGCTGAAGACGAGATCGCAAGCGACACACCATGTCACGTGCAGTGGCACCTCTGCCCCCTCGCCTCCGTCGTTCGTCTCTCCGTTGTTGCTTTATTCTTTGCTTTCCGTGGTCATTACCTTTCTTTCTTTCTCAGTTGCTCGTCGCGCGGGCATCGCGGCTTCTCATCACACACCAGCTTCACATCTCCGCCTTTTTTTTTTAAAGAAAAAGCCTTTTTAAGGAGAATACGACATCGTCTGGTGTCCTTCGTTCCGCTTTCCCGTTTCTCTCGAGAGGGCCGTTAAACCCTGCATCAACGAGCGAAGAGCAGAAAACGGAGACGAGGGAATGGAAGAGCCCACCTCACGCTGTGGAAGGGAGGGAGGAAAGATGCTTAGTGGAGCTGAGACAGCAGGTAGTCCAGCGCCTTGGTGCGCTCGCCGAAGTCGCGGATGGCGACAGAGGAGCACTTGAGGGTCTTGGTCACCTCGCCGGCCACGTCACGGCGCACGAGGCCGGCCCACTGGGCGAGCTTCTCGCGCTCCTCGACGTTGATCAGGTCGATGTTGCCCTGCTTGGCGAGGGCGGTCACCAGCTTCTTGTACTCCTCATCCTCGCAGTCGTCGGCAAGAATGCACATGTGCGCGGTCTTGCAGTCGAGGGCGCGGGCAACCTCAGAGAGGCCACGAACGAGGCCGTTCGCCTCCAGCGCCTTCTGGATCACGATGCGCACGGCATCCTCCAGGCTTTCCGGGACGACATCGACAACGACGTTCTCCTCAACCTCAGGGACTTCAACACGGGTGGTTTCCTCAGCCATTGTGGTTGGACTTTTTGTTTAAAAAAAGCGAGAGAAGGTAAGTGTGTGGACAACGAAATCTGCAGCGATGGGTAGCAATGCACGGACGCGAAAGGAGAGAAGCACCACAGAAGTTGGCGTGCAGTTGCGTATGTGTGCGGTTGTGTGTTGGCGGGACGTAAGACGGCAGGGCGAAAGGTCACGCAGGAGACGTTCAAAGGGAACGCGCAAGCACAAAGCACGCGAAATAATAAGAAGAAAAAAAGGAAATGGAAGGGAGAAGCGTTGGAGTAAATGCAAAGTAGGGAAGAGACATTTTTCTAAGGAAGTGCGATGGGATACCCCGGTTTGGAAGTCCGGCCAACCCTTGCCAAGATGCTCCTGATCGGCATTAATGCGGCGAAGCTGCCACGGCGGAACGGTCTTTGATGGGTCGCGCATAACCACATGAAAGAAACCTGAGCGCATCCCAGGAAATACGCAAAAAAAAAAAAGAAGAGAAACCTTCTTTCCTCCAAGCGTCCCCGGCTACTGTTGCTGCGCACGTACCTGCACACCACTTACCCACACCAAAGGGCAACGAGAACGCATGCAGGTTCTCACGTTTCTATTTCCTTTTTCTTCTTTTTGCAGTAAAGTGAAATGAAAAATAAAAAACACAATTTCCTGGAAAGGAAAAGAAAATGTCAGTTTGACACGTAGACCGCACTGCGCACAGAACACCAGCGCGCACCACAAAAAGAAACGAGGGAAGAGGAGAGGAGAAGAGGCAGCGAAGACATCACCCACCAAACACCGCGCTCCTTCCACTCCACGGCTCCTCTGGAGACTTGTGCTGTTGACACGCGCGTTCCGTGTGCAGGCGTGCAGATCCCAAGCGACATCTCGTGAACTCCCCTCCTCCCTACACGCCGTGCGTTAGACGTGGCGGAAGGCCTTGCGCTTGTACGAGTGACCCGGACGGCGACCGCGCTTCGTCTCCTTGCCGCGGTTGGTCGCGTGCGGCTTGGCGTGGCAGCCGGGCACACCCGACGCACCGAAGTGCTTGACGGACTCGCGGCCCGACTTGCGTCCGCGCATCAGGTAGGTGTTCTTGCCCGTCGGGGCGATCATGGCGAGCTGATCGAAAGTCAGGCACTCGCCGCCGGCGGCCACGATGCTCTGGCGAGCAGCCTTGGAGAAGCGCAGCGCGCACACGCGCAGGGCCGGGATGCGGGCCATGCGCACATCATCCAGCACGTCACCGACCACCACAGCGATCGGGGCCTTCTTGCTCTTCTCCGTGAAGACGGCCTTGCGCTTCATGACGACGGCGATGCGGCTCAGCGAGATGGGAGCGCGGTTGCTGCGGCTCTTGATCAGGCGCTGGTACACGACCTTGTTGAATCCCGAGTTCGTGCGCTTCGCGAGGAACTTGTACAGCTTGATCAGAAGCTTGATGTAGGGGTTCGACGAGTACGTGTGGTGACGAATCACACGGCTCTTCTTCGAGATACCGGTCAGATCAACGCCCATGATTGCGACGAGGGTGTTTCTTTCTCGGATATAATCTGCTTTTCTGATCTACAGAAAGGTCTACACAGACACTACGAGTTCAACGTGTTTTGTTGTTGTTGTTGGGATTGTTGGAGAGGGTGTGTGGGCGGCGCGTGTCAAGCGAAGGCGATGACACAAAGGAAAAAAAAAATGAGGGGCGTGCCATTTCAGCATAACCGCGAATGCGAGAGAGAGGGAGAGTTTCGAAGGGTGAGAGAGGAGAAGTGGTATCTATTTAGCCCTTGTGCTTCGAAGCGACAGGCTGCGTCCTACACAACTATAAATTGCACTAGGGCGCGATATTGTTCTGCTGCGCATTAATTAGTATAAATAGTGCTATACTAGCCATGGCGCAGCGAAAGAAAAGCAAAGAACGAGGCGCAGCCTGGGGCGTCCTCCATGTGATTAGACTCATGTGGTTTTGTTCCCCCCCCCCCAACGGCGGAGAACGCGAACCCTATTCCACACCAGTTGCTGTGTCCGCGTGTACGAGGTAGCGGTGCCAGAGTAGTAGCTTTCGTGGTGCAGCATAACTCCATTTGTTGTCTTTTAGTCGTTACAAATGCAAATACCGTTCCAACAGACACTGCAAGAGCGAGAGACGTGTGCAGGGTGCGGCTTTGCAGGTGAAGGTGAGTAGAGGTGCAGCCGTGGTGCGATTTCCCTTACCGGGGGCTTCTTTTCCCGCCTCTTTCAAATACAAGGCAAACACGTCCGTCCAGCAGACGCACCGACTGAGGCCAAAAGGTTTCCTTTCGTGTTTCCTTTTGGGGGTGGGAGGGAGGGAGGCAAAGACTGCCTCATTCCTGGAAGTCGTCATCCTTGGCATACGCCTTCTGATTCATCGCCATCGCCGAGTACGGCTCGCCCAGCGAGGCGTACGCGCGCACCCACGACAGCGTCTCGATACGGTTGCCCTTTCCTTTGCCAGACTCCGCGCGGCGGCGACGGTACTTGAGGGCCGGGATGGCGCGGGAGGCGGCTGCGTCAGCCGCCCGCTGGGCCTGGGCGCGAATGCTCTCCTCGTCGGACGTCCTCCCCGTCTCCCCTGACGGCGAAGGAACGTCCGCCACTGCCGCTGCGTCGCTTGGCGCGGCAGTTGTAGTAGGAGGAGAAGCAGCGGACTTCTCGACATCACCCACCTCAGCAGCACCACCTCTCCGCTGCCCGTCCTGCTGCGGATGCTGCCCCGTCGTGGTGTGGGCGAGGGACATGACAAAAGAGCCGATGTCCGGGTTGTAGCTGGGACCGCTGGCGACGACCCAGTAGCCGTTGCCCAGTTCGCCCTTCAGCTGGTCGAAGCCCCAGCCGGCGAAGCCGCAGAGGACGATGATGTCCCGCTCTGCCGAGACCTCCTTCGCGTCTAACTTCGCCATCAGCACATCCAAATCCCCATCCATCCACAGACCCGATCCGAGCGGCAGCGCATTGGGGATGCCCGGCACACGGTGCAGGAGAAAGATGCTCTCATCAAACGAACTGCCCGCCATCACCGGCCCGCCGATCATCAGTGTGTGCTGCGAGAGGTGGCGACGGAAGATGGGATGGACGCGGCCGAGGCGGACGGTGGCTTCAATCGTCATCTCCGCCCCCTCGTCGTTGCGCAGCGGCTTGTTCAGCACAAAGGCAGCGGACTCGTGGGCGACGTGGCGCACCATGAGCAAAACGGTGCGGCGGAAGAAGCCGCGGGCGGTGGGGTGCGACAGGAGGAGCTGCACATTCTTTGGCTCCTCGACCAGCTCCGCCGCGCTGGGCAGGCTACCACTCAACTCGTCGCCCGCCGGCGTCGCTGGTGCCGCGGCCTGCTCCTCCGCCGGCTCGTCGCCCTCCACCTTATCGGACAGGTCCACCGCCGCCTCGTCGTCCTCGTCGTCCTCGTCCATCATCTCCTCGGCCGCCAAACTCGCCGCTTCTTCGAAGGCGTTGCGGGGAGAGCGGCGTCCCGCTAGCAGCCCAGCCGCCGCCGCCGCCGTCGCCGCTGCCATCGACGCTGGCGGGGCATTTTTGCTCTTCTTCGCGGCGCGACGCACCAGGCGGGACTGGCGATCCAGCGAGACGCGCTGCTCGGCGCTCAGCCCGTGGATGAGAGAGTTGTGCAGCAGCGCCACCTCCAGTGCCCGCTGCAGCTGCGGGATGTCGCTGGTCGGGGAAAACGGCGCCGCTCCTTCGGCGGAGGGGGCGGGACCCAGGGTGACCAGACTTGCCCTCCCCGCATCATCCAAGTCACCGACGTACTGCAGCTCCTTGACGACCGCGAAGCTGTTGGCCACGTTGCTCATGGAGAAGGGTGTCTCCTCGTAGATTTGGCGAAGGGCAACGGTGAGTTTGCTGTACGGCAGCACGTTCAACGGGATCGCGCTGCTGCGGGTACCACCGGCGGAACCCTCGCCTGATGTAGACGCTGACGCGGTGGCGGTGTTGCTCTGGGGGTCCGTTTCCGCTGCTGCTGCTGCCGCTGCCGCCGTCGCGCTCTTCGCCTCCGCAGCCTTTCTCTCCTCCTCCTCCGCAAACATATACGAACACTGTAGCTTGTACTCCTCGACCGCGCGCGCTGCCTCTTCCGGCAGTGGCGGAATGTACTGCGGACAGCCGTTGTTGAGTCGGCGAATGAGGCCATCCAAGTACGACCGCGACTCCTCCCAGTCCATTTGACTGAGATCGAAGCTCTGCCACTCCATCAAGCGATGGTCGTACACCTGCAAAGGGCAGCACACGAGTTGTGTTCGCATGGCGACGCTTGCATCGATGCGGCAGCACATCTTGTACAGCTTTCGGTACGTCGTGAGAACTACCTTTTCCATTTTGTCTTATCGCACCGCACGGTGACGCTGTTTGGTATTTGCTAAGCCTAATAACAGTAATGAACAGCGAATAAAACAGGAAGCACTGCGAATCGCCAGCACTTAAACTAAGCAAGAATAATTTTCTTCTTTATTTTAAGGGCGAGAATAAAAATAGCAGTGCGCCTCGCTTCCTACTACTATTGCTTTGAGGATATGTGAAGACAATAAGTGTGTTGAGGATGTAAAGGAATTCTCCGCTCCACTCGTTAACCGCTTAAGTCGCAATCATCAGCGCCTTGCCTCAGCAGGTGAAAGAAGTCAAATTGATGTGTATTGCATCCGTACCGTAACTCGGTGGTTTCCTTTTTATATTCTGCCTGGTTTGAACTACGGGCAACGTGCACGCAGAGGCAAAACGGAGGAACAGTTGTGCGGTTGCCTTCAACTCACGAAACAGTCCAAACGCGATTGAGTACCATTTTTCTTGTCCTTTTCATGATCGATTGGTTTGTGTTGAACTACCGCGCAGCATATGTGAAAAAAAAAAAAACGAGAATCAGCAACTCCACCAAATGAGGAACATATATATATA